CACAGGAAGTTTTGTATCATAAAAAAGGCACACAAATCTAAAAAAAATAGATTTAGAGACATGGCAAGAATTTGTAATATTTAAACAAAAAAATATTTTTAATAAAATTAAAATGAAAGCTTTTCTTGTGAAAGAATTTTGAAAAAAGTATGTCTGTTTTTCAAGGGTTTGCATTTGAATTTTCATATATCTACGAAACTGTAAATAGAATAATATATTTACAACAAAATGCTTTCGATAATAACACATTTTTTTTAATTTAAATCTTAATTATTAGCCTTTTTTACTCCCAATAAATTATTAGAAATACATTAATATATAATATATAACCATTTCTATAAGCTCTTTCTTTTTAAAGATTTTCCTCTAAATTTCTCAGAGTGTAGACCCCTTTTAGCTGGATCCCCTTGCCTGTTGAGCTATTCCTTATTTACACTTTATATTTATTTGAAATATGAGCTGCCTTCCAGGCTGTCGAGTGCAGCGCTACATAAACCAGCAAACACTTTCTGGTTCTTGGTTCTCGCCTCTCAAATTGTCCCCATGGCAGCTGTCAGTTGGCATTATTATCGTCAACAAAAGACCCGTGGATGTGATACATTCCCCGGACATTACGGCTGGTGGGGCTTACAAGATGACAAAATGCGATTTGAATGGGGGCACTTTCCACTGAGCACAAGAAAAGATTTCAATTTCTTTTTGAATCCCAGATTCCTGCGTGAAGGAGATGAATGTTGGACATTATTGGGAGATTATAAATGGAATATATTTAGGAGAAACCTTGGACATTTTTAATACATATGAGTTTGGCACCACAAGGAAATAAATCATTATAATAAATGTTTAGTTATTTAAAGAGAAAAGTAATTCGTTTTTCAGTAATGAATATTCATTTACCGAGAACACATAATTAACTATGCATACTTGCTACCCCTTAAAACCTATTTTAATTAGTTTCCAGTATATATTATCTACAATTAAAACCAATTGACAACTGAATTAAATTAAAACTGGGCTTAAAGCCTTTATTTTCTGCAATTAAGTGCTTACAAAACTATTCTCTTTAAGCTTAAATTCACTTTATTTAAATTTGCGTGCACAATTGAAACCCGTAAACAGTAAATAAAAAGGATTTTCATTTATAATTTGAAGCGGCCATTCCGGCTGAAATACGGAGCTGTAATCCACAGGAGCTGGCGAAATTGAAAACTCATAAATTGCCTTTATTCGCTGTCATTTCATTGGCAACAAAAGTGCCTGGAAAACAGAAACGATTCAAATGCATCAATGGCAGTCGAGTGAAATCCAAATGGAATCCCCACCGAGTCGGGCCAAGGCTAAAACGTTTCAGCCATGGCTTGGCCAGCAGCCGGAATGTTGTTTTAGGCACAAATGCTATTTAAACGATTTAAAAGCCCGTTCGACAAATCCCCTCCACTCTCGCCAAAGTACTCAATGAAATGTATATATAAAATTCTGAGGAAATGGCTAGCTTTTAACACAATCTCTTTAAGCATAACAAATTTGATTTATACCCCTTCGATTGTTTCATCTTACACTTTTTATTGTTAAAGCTATTAATTACACAACTCGACCCCCACTCATTCCAATTTAATAATTGATGCCATTGTTTGCTTAAAAAGCAAACGAAAATTTCAAGAAATACATGCATAAATCATTGCTGGAGATCTGTATGTGATGTGGGCGGGACGAAAAAAAAAATATGTATAAAGCTGGTGCAGACATCGCTGTATGATTTATGCGCCTAATAAATTCCTGTTGCAACATTCAACGCTAAAACTAAAAGATGCGCTTGCCTGGCAGCACAATGGAGATAAACTATCCGCGGGGCTACAGTCTGAACACTGAAACCCCCCGCTCGATTCACGACTGTCAGCCAGCGAATTGGAAATCGGCGAACAAACATTTTCATTACTCATACGTCATGGGGGCAGAACCAAACCAAACGAGCCATCGAAAACATTTTGACAGATGCAGCAGACTGCGGAACAATTTCGCATGGTTACGCTTTTTAATACACAAACATTTCGTGAACATAGTTTTTTTCACAATGCTAGAGAGAGATGGCCAAAAATGGTAGTTTTTCCAAAGGTTTTAAGTGACATTCAGGTTTCACAAAAAAGAAAAAATATTAAAATACAAAATTTGCAATTTGAAGCTTTGCTAAAAAGGTGCCAAATATTTTTGTGTATGTTTTATATATATTTCCTTACCAGTGTTATTTTTCCAAGGGAGGAGGCATGCCGTGGAAAATGCTTTTTGTGGAGTAATGGCCGAGGTCGACACTTCAACGTCGAGTGCTAAAATAGATGCCTTACACATGTAACTCACGCACACACACACACGCGGGCTCACAAAGTCAAATACATTTGCCAGTTTTATGCTTTTCCGACTCTTCATGCGCTCCTCACACCCGCCATTTCCCATTTTCCCCTGGCCAACGTTTTTATTGAAGTTTCCTCCCGTTCGCTCGCTTTTATCAAATGCAATTTACGGATCCCTGACATCGGGCATTAGCGCCGCGGCTGCCAAAGTCAAGTGAGGCTTGTTTAACGCACACACAGCAGCTGCTTCAGGTCCTTCCCCCAAGATTTTCCCTAGACCTTACCTACCGCTGCCCCTCGCCAAGGGGCAACTTTTTTTTCCCCGGCTACTTTTCGCCTATGGCACTTTTCCACACGCTTTTATTGCTAATTTCTGTTATTGCCAACGTTTTGCGTGAGTTTCGCGCGTTGTCGTAAAAATATTTTTATTAGCCGATCGACGGGTGGCTAAGGAGGGGAGTACCATGAGGGGCCCCGCCCTAACATGTAGGCACATTAAAACCTCTGAAAGCTGATATATTCCAGCCATGAGACACGCTAGGAAGTAAGCGGAATACATTTTGGTTCTAGGTTTATGTTCTGATTCGCACTTTCTGTGTGAATTCTCTTTAGTTTCAGCTTATAGATTTATTTAAATATCTAATTATATTAGAGCCCTTCTTGTGTGTTTTAAAAAAGTAAGGAAACGCTTTCATTTTTACTACATATACCCAAATATTTCTTTAGTTTATATCTTGGGCTTAGCTTCACCCTCAGATGGAACAGTGATTTTAGAGAATATATTCTGTTTAAAATTCACAACATGTTTAGAATTATGTATAATATTTTGTAAATAACATATTTCTCTTAATCAAAGACTATTTTTCATTCCACTCTAAGAATAAACTACGAGATCTTAATGCTAATTTTCCCGCCAGTTTCATTGATAAACTGTTTTAGCCCCAAACTATGTAGTATTTCCTAGCCGCCACTTAAACGGCGAATCACTTATTTATTCAATGGCTGCCAAGTGGAATGGCAAGGTTCAATGTTGGGAAATTTACGGGCAAGTTTGTACCGAGACATCGTAAAATTTAAGTGGTCCCGAACCCCCGCTCTTCAAATCACTTTTATGGCTACGGCCAGTTAATAACCAAATTTGTCTGCTCAGCTTAAACGTTAAACCCAATTGCTGCGAGATGCGAGATGAGCTTAACCAAAATCGAGGGCCAGACGCACATCGCTACAGAGTTGAGCGGAGCTGACTGATGTTTTGCGATTTCGTGTAATTTGTGTAATAAATATAAAAGTTGTATTATTATTACAGCGCAAAAAGAGAGGGAGGAGCAAGACAAACATGGTTGCTGGGTTGCTTGGTGAGTTGTCATAAAACGCAACTCGCTGGCAAGTGTTGTGCACACAGAATGCATTCAGTTTGCCATTACCCATGCCCCCCCCAAGGAGTCGCCAACCAATTTGCAATCCTAGATTTTATGTGCTTCGTTTTTGTAGCACACTTTTCTGCGCATCTGCTTTTGTTGTTTTTGCACTTGTCATATCGGAACATAAGTGCAGGCAGCAATTTGCCTAAACGATAAGATTACAGCACGCAATGGGGGGGAGATGCAAATCTGGATTTCCACCACCTGACAAGTGCTATATGCTGTTCCATCTCCAAGTCCAAGTGTTCAAGCAGCAGGACATTGCACACATCCTGTTCGAGCATGACTGCACATCGATTGCTGCCACACAGTCGTAGGGGCAATATCATCAGGATGAGCTTCTCTTTCACACACACACAAATATTTATTTGTTTTGGCCAAAAGAAAATTTGCACACACACCTTATTGCTGTTACCTGGACACAAAAACAACATAAACATTGGTGAGGAGATTGCCATTGATGGCTTATTCAAAGGAATTTGTCAGCATGTTTGGGAATTTATTGATAAATTCTGAATTTATACAAAAAGTAAACCTACAAATTTCAATTATAAAATGTATTCACATTTAAAATATAAAATAAAGCTAATAAACTTTAATATTTGTCATTTTTCTTTTGCTAAATTGTTTGTTATTATTTTCTAGACAGCAATTTCAATCAGTTTGACCTTCTTTTTACTTAAATAAAATTCAAACCTCTAAAAATAAAAATTCGTATAAAAAAACAAGAAAGGAAGCTTACTTAGAGAAGCCGAAGCCTTTAATATTTAATATTATTAATATTCTTTAATATATAAACAATTTTTTTCAAGTTTATAGTTGTATAAACTTCCAGCTATCACCCTAAATAAGAAATTATTCAAATGATAAATTGCACTAAAAAATACTTTAACCTAAGTAATATCCTTAACTCTTTTAACTCAGTTATTCTAGTCACGCCATTCTTAAATACTCTCATCAAAAAATCAATAGTTTCAACTGTACATAAAAACCGTTTAAATCGGTGCAACTATGTTATCTCCGGCAGCTTTAATGGCCGCAATCTGACGGAAAACCAATTAAGTTCGCATTCAAACGGACCGTAAAACGCAAAATCGCAAAATACTTATGGGGGGAGGCGGTGTGTGCTGCTCACACACTCCCACACTTACACTCACACACTCGCACACTCTCACATTTATGAGCTCTCCAAAAGCAATTTGATTGACTAACGAATTTATTTGTGGCGTTTCAGCGGAAACAGCTTCAGTTGCAGTTGCTGCAGAGGCACTTCCAGAGGCAGCCATGAGCGAGCAGATTGGCACCACCAATGGGAGTAGTTCCAGCACCACGGGCCACACGGCCTCTACTGCCATCGCCGAAAGTGCAGCGGAGAGCGGTCCGGACTTTGACGCCCTGCGAGTTGCCTGCGAAACGCGGCTAAATGGTAGCGGTCATCTTTCGGGTGAGTCTGGCTGTTCCTTCCTCTCTCTGCACAGTGAAAAAATATCAGCGAAATAGGTCAATAAACTAAAGAGATAAATCAATTAAAAACTACAGGAAAATATAGCTTAAAGCTTGAAGGATTTACTTTAAAAATATGCTTTAATTTTTTAATATATATTAATTTAAACTTACTAAATCGCTGATATTTCTATGATGTACCTGCCTTCTCTGCGTGCAAACTGCAATTTCGGTGGCCATTATGCACGAGTAACTTTAAATTGCTGCCCCATTTCATTGCGTTCCCTTTGCTCCCAATAAACAGGCAGCGGTGGACCCCGCTGCGCCGGCACCTTTGATGGCTGGCTTTGTTGGCCGGATACGGCCGCCGGCACTTCCGCCTACGAACTCTGCCCGGACTTCATCACGGGTTTCGATCCAACAAGTAAGTAAAGTACGCCAAGCGGCGCCTCAACTGTTTATTAAATTCCACAAGGCAACTTCCGTTACGGGGTCAGCCCTGGGATCTGCATATGACATGGAATAACACACACACAAAAAGTACAGAGGCTAAAAGGGAAATGTGTTTGCATGGGTCTGAATCAGGCTCAGGATGACAGAGTGGGTGGGTGATAGACTCTGTCTTCCATCTAATTGGCCTCATCCCAGGGCTCATCGTTAGATACCCATAAATATAACAGAAAATACGCTCGCAGCCAGGCCAAATCAATTGGAAACTTGTTATGTTTATGCTTTGATTTCGTGTCGTATGGAGAACATAAAATATTCACGGAACCCACCACACAAACACAGCGGCAGATGGAGACGGTTCCCAAGCTTTTTGAGCCACTAAATTATCCAAGAGAGCGTTCTCGGCAAAATGCTAAAATGTTTTCGGCTGATTTGCCACAATTTACCGAGTTTTTGCTGGAATCAAATGAAATGTCGAAAACAAGGCCAAATTGTTTGTGGCTCCTGGGCAAAAAAGTTAAAGTCAAGTAGGTAATGGAGGAGAAATGTATTTAAAGCTTCAAGGTACTTGAATTGGGTTATTAAAATGTAAAGAATGAGAATAAAAGTTTGGCCATTAATCAGTTTCCTTTCGTCAAGGTGTTGCTGGCAGCTGTGGATGCCACATAAAATATAATAAAACAAGGAATGAAATATTATCCTTTAGTTATTCAACTCATTGCTGAATCATTAATTGGAATATCCGGCATCCGGCGAAAGTGACTTGAATTAATTCTCATCTATCTCCCCCATAATGCGGCTTAAATTAATAATTAGCAAAGTGCATTAATAATGCACAAGCTGAAACAAAACAAAAACTAATTAAGTATGCAAGGAAAATGTTGATTAACTCGGTCACTAAAGCAAATATTAAAAAATAATGCAAACACTCGGTAGAAATGCCATTTGAATAAATGAGAATTTGTATAAATATTTGAAGCAATTTATGGAATAAATCATTCGCCGTGCGCTGCATGTCAATTTGCATTAATGGCTGGGGATGTGCAATATGGGCCAGGCCAACAAGCCACCTGCTTAGGGAGCCACCCCCTTCAGCTACCCCGTTTTTCGGCCATGACCAGGACACAAAAATAGCTAAAGTTGAATGACTTTTTTTCGGTATGCCACACACAGAGAGAGAGGAAAAAACACAAGGCAAAGGAGCGAGGACCGAGAAAGTGCTACTTTCACTACATTTAGCCTGTGGTTGGCGACGTTCATCCCCTCTTGGGGTCGCCGCCAGCTTGTACGAGATTATGTGCTTTGGCACTGCGCCGCCATTAACTTTTATGGCACTTCCGGTCGCCGGATGTCGATGTGGTGAGCTACGGCAGCGGAGCAACGGACAGCGGGACTACCCCTCACCCGGCTACTTATCTGCCACACAGCGCGTATACGTGATTTTCTTCGTCTGCGTGCCAAACGACGATAAATGGTTTCGACGAAAGATCATCATCTGCGGTCCCAAGAAGCCGGAAAAAAGTGTAAAAGCTGAGAAAACCTCACCTTGGAAATTCCCTCACTGGAATGCAGCCATTGCTATTTACTGCACACTTCCGGAAAATGCCACTCGAAACGAAAACTGCACCGAAAACTTGGTAATTCGCAGTCGAACACCACTCGACATGCCACATTCAAAACTAAGTTTTTCTTCTACACAAACTTTGCCTTGATTGGACTTGAATAAAAACTCTGGTTTGGTAAACAACAACAGGATGATTGTGCCATTTTTAATTCATGCATTAAATGGATATATAGTTTATGTTTCAAATTCTGGCCACAACACTTGTTTGCGGTTGGTCCGGTGGCACATGCCATAAATCAGGGTTAATACAATTTAAATACGCTGGCTAACCACAAAAGGCAAATACGAGCTGTGCAAATATGAGAAATATTTAAACAAGAGTCAATCAAAAAATCACGCATATTTAGTGTGGGTAAATATTTGTGCTGCACTGGCCAGTGAATTAATTCTAGAGAAAATATGCAGGGAAACTACACAAAAATTGGACAAAAATAATAAATATAAAAACCATATTTTATCTACAGGATATGCGCATAAGGAGTGCGGACTCGATGGCGAGTGGTTCAAGCATCCGCTGACCAATAAAACATGGTCCAACTACACCACCTGCGTGAATCTCGACGACCTTGAGGTAAGTTGATCCTGCAGTGCAGCGTGTTTAATTAATTGGAATTTATCATCATCTGCAGTGGAAGCACAATGTAAACCTGATCTACGAGATTGGCTACGGCATCTCGCTGCTGGCCATCCTGCTCTCGTTGGCCATATTGGGTTATTTCAAGTAAGTCTTCCTCCTTCATCTTTATACAGCTTTCCACTGGATCCCACAATCCCACAATCCTCCAGTTGACAGCCTTCGTTGGTAGCATGAAAAACCACTTGCGGGTAATGAGGCTCGCCGGTCGTTATATTATGACTGCTGCTGGGCGCCTGGCGCCAAAAACGAAATTTATTGACGGCAAGCAAATACGACAGTGGCTTAATCAACTGCCAACCTGAATGTGCTCACTGAGTGTCGGAAATGAGAAAATACTTTAGCTTGTTTTAGCCAGTTCTTCTCACAATGCTTGCTGCAAGCAGGATATCGATTCATTTCCCAGTGCCGGCAGACCAATTAGTGCTCTCGGTTTGTTTATCGCCCAGCTCAGCCCAGTCGTCTGGAGATGAGGATAAGGAACGTATAAAGGACGCAGCATATAGATAGGGCCATATCCCAGATAGAACTCTTTTAAATTGTGTGCGAGAGGCAAATAAAGCCAGGCTGCTGCTTCTGATGCTACCGACGTGTGGGAATTTCGGTCTGCCCTAAAAGAGGGGATAATTAAAAGTTTAATGACAAAGCAGCGTGACCAAATGAATGAATGAATAAAATCCCCCCATTCACTTCAAACAAATGTAATGAAAATTCCAGGAAATTTCAATTTCCATTTAAAACACACAATTGAAGTAAAATAAAAGGTGAGGCTATTGCTATATGTTTATTTGAAATATATAGTAAATTCTGGTTAAATTCGCAATGGGACTAGAGTAAATATTTTTAGGAAGTTGATTTCATATATCTTGAACCTTATTCGAAGAAACTTATGTATTAAATCCTTTAATTAGCCTACATTTTATATTAGTTTGTTGACTTCAAAAAAAAGTACTTACAAAACAAAAATAATCTGACAAGCCAAAATCGATTTGTGATGGGAAAAACTAGTTTTCTATTCAGTTTGACCCCAATTGAAGAAATTGAGCAAGAATTCTCCTATCTCTTGTCAGTTGGAAATGAACTTTGGCCTTTTCACTCCAGCAACTGCTGGCCAATCCAATCTGTGGCTGCCAACCGCCTTGTGGCAAAATGCAAATTCGTCAGCAGACAGAATTGCAATTGTAGGAGAAACCACACCATCCATCCCCTCTCCCCCAAAAAAAAGTGCCTGCCCAAGTTATTCTATTCGCATATTTGTCATTCGATTATCTTGACCAAGGTCCCTGAAGTGCGCCCGCATCACGCTCCACATGAATCTGTTTGCCTCGTTTGCCGCCAACAACTCCCTGTGGCTAATATGGTATCTGCTGGTCATGCCCAACACGGAGCTGCTGCAGCACAGTCCGGTAAGTGGGCTTACCTGGCGTATGCGCAATGTTTCAATTACCATACCCATACCCATATTCATATCCATTTGCCCGTTTCTAGGTCCGCTGCGTGGCGCTACACATCAAGCTGCACTACTTCCTGCTGTCGAACTACTCGTGGATGCTGTGCGAAGGATTCTACCTGCACACGGTCCTGGTGGCGGCTTTCATTTCGGAAAAGCGCCTGGTCAAATGGCTGATCGCCTTCGGCTGGGGCTCGCCGGCTCTCGTCATATTTGTGTACAGCCTGGCCCGCGGTTTGGGCGGCACGCCCGACGAGAATATGCAGTAAGTGAATATTGAAGGAGATTGTTGCACTGGGAAAAAGAACAGAGTACTTTTTAGGTTCTTTAAATTACTAAAATCATGTCACAAATAAAGGATACATTTTTATTTTCAACAATTATTAATAATACCTTCTGATAAAGGTAGCTTTAACAATTGTGTTTTCTGAACTTCCCCAAATGCTAATCGATTCAATCAGCAATTCATCCTTTGAATCACATTGTCCTTTCCTACCTTGCAGCTGCTGGATGAACTCCACCGACTATGATAATATCCTCGTGGTACCTGTCTGTATCTCCATGTTCCTCAACCTCCTGTTCCTGTGCAATATTGTGCGTGTGGTCCTGCTGAAGCTAAATGCTCCGGCCAGCATCCAGGGCAGCTGCGGACCATCCCGAACAGTCCTGCAGGCATTTCGGTAAGTTTCAACCTTCAGCAGCTCTGACACAAAACAAAAAAAAAGGAAACGTAACGAAAACAAAGAGGAATGAATACCTTCCCCCCAAAACCTGTGGAGAACTCTCAACTGGCCCACGGGGCGAATGCGTAATTATATTTTGTTTCCCTTGTATTTATCGTGACGGACCCCGTCCCTCTTGCCGACAGCTCTTTTATTGTTTATTCGTTCTGCACTTGGAAGTTTGCTTCATTTTACATTTTAAATTACGCATACGCAGCGTTGACTTGCATGTTAATACACACCCGAAAACAAAGCTTAAACAAAAAAACAGAAAAACAAGGCATTATATTACGACCGATTCCCCTCATCTCATCCTCGTTAGGGCCACGCTGCTGCTGGTTCCCCTGCTTGGCCTCCAGTACATCGTTACGCCGTTTCGCCCGGCGCCCGGACATCCCTGGGAGAATACATACGAAATCATCTCGGCGTTTACGGCCTCGTTCCAAGTAAGTAAAATGTTTTCGTTCTCATTCTCTTCTTTTTTTCTGTTCAGGCTTTTGTTTCGCACGCTTTCATAAAATCACTTTACGACTCTGAGCCAGCTGAAAAGTTATGATGTTAGTGTACGCTTTTTGCAACTGGGAATGCAAATAAGCCAGGCGCTGGCATTACTGGGATGTCGGAGAGCCGGCTCATTAGATCCTGGAATCAATAAGGAAAATACAAGCCATGTGGAATTTTCTCCATTGGAATTTGGCCAAGACTTTGGCATATTAAAACGCTGGCAGAGATTGACCCGTGGTTCCCCCTGGAAGAATGCCACGCTTCGCTCTGCTCCGCTCTGCTGGTTGCCCGGCAGCAAGTTGAGCATGAAATGCACTCCCGCGCGAAGGAGGAACTCATAAAAGCCAACCGAGCTTGTCCCTCCGGCCAAGTCAGTCTCGATAGACCAGCATTTACAGTCAGTTAACATATTTCTCTTAAAGAACAGGAAAATCTCCAGCTGCCAGCAAGACTCGCCTCATCTGGGTTAAGTCCCCCAAGCAAACGGTGTCTCTGGTAAATGGTTTGCAGTCGCAGCTTAGCTGATTTGCAAATGCAAATGCAGAGTTCATTTCATTTGTTACATCAAAGGGAAGTACATTTATTGAATCAAACGAAAAAGTGCGGTGTTCTCAGATAAATGAAAGGGGTTTTATTTTGTCTTAACTTAGAGATGAGTTACTGTCTACCTTTGAGGAGAGATTTGTAAACTTTCTCAATCATTTAAAATAATTTTAAATCCTTAAGATCTCTTAGAAAACATTTTTGTCACAACATTAAAGACAATCCTCTACTTCCGATTGACAGTTAGCATTTTCAGCACTTTTACAATCGTGACATTTCTAGAAATTGAATTCTTGAAACAAAAGCAAAAAGTCCATTATCCAGCGAATAAACATAAAACCTTCTTGGGTGTGGCTTAGCTGCAGATGAGTTCTTGCTTTCCTTTTTGTTTTATGTGTTTCAATGAGCGATGTCACCTCTTCCTGAGCCGCTTTCGTCAGTGTCAATCGATTGATAAAATCTCCTTTTCGCGAGTTGTAGGGACCGTTGTAGGGCTTATTTATTTTATTTTTTATTATCTTGTTTTTCTTTACCCGCATTTGCTGTGAAGATGCCAAAGTTTTCCCTTCGTTCTGTGCGGTTGCATATAATTTGGATTTATTGTGGCAGCCGTACTGACGACGTCGAGAGTCATAAAAGATTCATTCGCTGCAAGTTTTAAGCTCAACAAAGAATATCAAATAATTTCTGACTCGGCTAAGGATGGGGGAAGTCGCCAAAGCAAGGAAATACTTGCACCAAAATGAGAATTTATATGCACTGTAAACGTGTTTATTCGGTTGTTTTTATGCCAAAATCAGAAACTTGCTGCAATTGCCATTTCACAGCTTGCCAGCATTTCCACAGAGCTTTTCCCTTGGCTTTTCCATCCATTTTCCCAGCTCCAAAGTGCTCAGGGACATTTGGTATTTAGCAGATGTGCAGACAGAACACGTTTTACTCAAATTGAATTAAAAACTTCCGCTTGGCAGAGAGCTAACAGGGGATAAACAAACGCCGGATGTCAACAGAAGTAGTCGTGATATTTGAATGGCAAGGACTGTTGTCAGGACTTGACTTTGAATCATTTTTGCGAGTCTGCTAATTGTTTTACTTAAGCTTATTAGCTAGCTTAAGTGTTTTGCTACTTACTGGAAAACATTCAAGTCTTCTCTAATAGAATTCAGCAACTTTGTGTTTTTTAGTTTAAGAAATAATTGCTCTTTAGTCTAAATCCTAAAACTTAAGCACTTTGCTTCACAGCTTAATTATAAATGAAAAGAAAAAAGAAACAAGAACTGTAATCTGTCCAAAACTTTTTTCACAGAGAGCTCTTGAAAAATGGCTCAAACTAAGAGAGGAGGAAACATAGTTTAAACGAAAGCTTTATAAACGAGAAAACATGGAGAATAGAACATAGAGAGAGTAGGAGAACTGGTTTCAACTAAATTCCAAGTCCTGCGAATATATATTGTCTGTCCATTGTGTTCCACACACATTTCTATTATCCTTTCTGTGGTCAAGCATATTCCGGAACCAACTGTGTTAACCATAACAACTAAATAACAACAAACTATGGAGAATGGAAGTGTTTTACATAGCAAAAGGGAGCAGAGGAAGTCAAAACTGTTGTAGTATCAGAATTGGGTAACGGAAAAAACTAGAGAGAGAGCAAAGAACATATGAACACAATATAAGTCCTGTAAATCCTAGAACTATTTTAAACATATAAACTTCACTTACTGCTATAACTAATTTAGAAATAAACACTATTCCAAATCAATAAGCCACAACTCACAGACTATAACTCAAACATATTGCATACCTGACAGCCCAAATATTTCCTTTTTGAGCCCAAGAATCTCTCAGAAAGATAATCAGTAAAATGCCCAGAATTTCTACGTTTACAATCAAATAACGAAATGTCTTATTTGCAATATGCTCCAAAAAGCAACAAACCCTATGCTGATGATGATGGGACTAGAAGGTAAAGACCTAGAGGAGCGAATGGACGGCAACTGCGGCTGATTGAGTCCATGATGGGCCTCCGTGAGTAGTGGCAATCAAACGAAGCCCCTCGCCGAAGTGCGAACGAGAAATCCAGCCGGCAGTCAATGCACGTACACCCGGCCATACATTAAATATTTACATACATAGTATATGTATATGTGCGGCCGCCTGCGACAATCAGGCAGAAAGTGGAGAGACAAATGGCCAGCAGTCGGTTCGGATCGGATCCAAAGGGGGGATCCCACGGCAGGACGAAGGACCAAAGCTTGTTCAAGTGGTGGTCGTCTGACAGGCGAAATGAATATTGCGCCAGCCGCGGGCCGAAGTGGGGGACATAACCAAAAGGAACAAGCTAAAATTGTATTATGTATTGTATTAGGACCAACTGACGGGCAACAAAGGACAAGGGAGAGGGGAACTACTGGGAAATAACGAATGTGGGAATACTCTTTCAGGGTATTTATTCCTAAGGGAGGTTTTTGAATTTAAATCAACGAAAGAATATGAAAATGGCAAACCTTTCTTTATCTTTTTGTTTTATTTTGGCCAGATAGCTTAGAGTCAGCTAAGAATACCCTTTGAAAGCGTATCAAAAAGGGACAAAAATAATAGGCATTGTCATAAGGACAACTGCGATAAGCTCCGGCGATAATTTAGCCTGCTCGCCCACTCTATTCATATTACATTCATCCTTCTCCGTCTCCTTTCAGGGTCTGTGCGTGGCCACTTTGTTCTGTTTCTTCAACGGCGAGGTGATTGCCCAAGTGAAGCGCAAGTGGCGGATGATGTGCTTCAGCAACCGGCCGCGGACAAACTCCTACACAGCCACTCAGGTCTCGGTAAGATTTCTACTAAAGCTTCACACGCTTTGAGTCCCCCATCCTTACCCTGCCTTCTTTATTTGAATTTTGAACCACGGGTTACGGCGCGTATGCGTAATGCAGCAGCAACACTATAGTAGCTAGCACACTTTTATCACTCACACACAGCTGATTGGCCTCTCTTGAAACGCATTAATCGCATGCAAAAATAATAATAATATTAACTAAAAAACAAAAAACGAAGCAATTAAGACAGTTACAGAAGCCGACGCACCGTTGCCAACCTGCCAACCACCATGATAGCAAATTCTCAGTTCTTTTGATTGTAGTTCGTGCGCTGCGGACCGCCACTGCCAGGAGAGGAGAAGGTATGACTAAAGGATATGTCGGCCAAGCGACGAGCCTCCTCCGGCCCCCATCATCACCACCACCAGCAGAACCCGGATCACCAGCCCTCAGATCAGCATCGAGCCCGCAGCCAGAGCCTGGCCAGTTCGTCGACCTTCCTCGAAGGCTGGCGCAATCGGATGCCGTTCCTAAAGCACCGCCAAACCATCGACAACTCCCGCCAGTGCCAGCCGCTGATGGAGGAGCGCGAACTGACACTGGCACCAGCCAAATCCGAGGTGGGTGTGGCCGATAGGCCGACATTGATGACAACCATAGCAGAGGATGTGGCCGAAGCGGTGGCAGCTGGGACATCACAGGAACCGGCAGCTGGGGACACTGCGGATTCACGGACGACCGGCGATGGCCAACAGCCCAATACCAATCCCAGTCTCAGTTCCAATGGCATGGGCACAGTCATCGTGCGAATGGAGGGGGCTGGCCAACAGCACATGGCCGATGAGGCGCTCTAGGTTAAAACCCTGCGAGTCACACAACATCTCATAGTTTAAGCCGCTGAAATACCAAAACCAAAACAGGTCAAAAACCCGAGCCCCACCAATATTAGCAGCAGACCCTTAGAACCCAGGATGTTCCTGAAGTAAATGGAGGTTTCAAAGTCATAATTCGGGTGCCCTAAAGTATGTTATGTTCTTTTTACTACTTTTCTTGTAAAAGATTTTTAATAGTTTTTTAGGGTATATTTAATTTTTCCCCTTCAATATTTTATGGCATACTCGCAGCCACCCAAAGTATAGCTCTTACAACTTCCACATACTTTAATGACGCCCTCAGAAAATTCCTGGGCCAGCTGGCGGCTAAAATGAAATTCGCTGCATTCTGCAGCCGGCTAAATGTTAAGTTTTCATAGTATATTCCTCAGTTTTTCTTGGTTTCCTCAGAATGCAAAATGCGAAATGAATTTCAGCCTCCGGCCGGTGAATGCAAACATATTTATTGTACCTTTGAATGTAAGAATTTACTTGGATATCAAATATCATTGTTGTTTTAAGTGTTAAGTGTATCCTAGGACAGACCCAGACGCAGCACGCTCCCCTTCCCCGCATATATATATCCCTCTCTCTCTGTGGTAAGCTGAGCTTTCTGGCAATCGCTTTTAGTGTGTCTATGAATGTACGCAGATGTAATAAAATTTTAATTATATGTATATGTATGCTAAACATTTCCGAGTACCTCTGGCTCTGCTCCCTCCGCAGCTAATTAGTCAACTTTCAGTTGGTTTAATGAAACCAGGAGTAGGCTGTCAGCAGCAGCAGGAACCACAGCAAAATAGCAATGGCAATGGTAACGGCGACCCCAACTCGAACCTAATGCTCATTTAATGAATGCCATTTGAAGTGAGCTTCACAGCACTTGTTCCCCGTGGACGTGGACGGACGTTGGCCAAGTTGAAAGCCCAACAGGTGCTTACGGATTCCATTTAGCCGAAAATTTGTTTGTGTGGCAAATTGAAGCCTTACCTGGTTTCAGGGGGAAAACAAATAAGAGGAAATTGTGAAATACGTTTTGTCTAGAGAATAAAGTGGGCTAGAATCATTTAAAGATTTACAACTGGTAAGTATGGGTAAGTTTTATTGAATAATCTATGAGCTTTATATTGTAAAATTTTAAATAAAAGCTAAGCAGTACTAAAAAATAATATAATAAAAGGCTCCTGAGTGCCATAAAACCCTAAGAGCTATACAAAAAATTCTAAAAAAATGTTACAAGTACCTAAATAATTACAAAAATATTACAAGAAGAGAAACTATGTCCAGGACAAGCGCCACACTGAAGTGCTGTCAACATTTGTTGACACTTATTGAGGACTATCCGTTGACGTCTGGCTTGGCCATTTCCCGTTGGTGGTTTTTAATGATGTCCCTGCAAGTGGCACAATGTGTGAATGGGTATGGCAGTAGGTGTGGGCGTGGCACCCCGGCCAGTGATTGTACGGCAGACACGTGTCCTCGCTGTTGCACCATTGTGCGGCAGAATGTTTTATGCATGTAAAGTGTGTGCGATAAGTGGCATTTCCACATTGTATACTATCAGTGTGCACTACCAGCACTCTCAGTTTCATTTTCAGTCCACCCCCTCCCCGCACACACTCATAATTCTGGAGATTATTCGCGCCCGAAAGCATAGAGTGAACATGATGTTGTTTACAGCCCAGGTTGATATCGCTCATACGCCACGTATGCGCCGGGAGTAAACTTTTCCCATCAGCGAGCGAGGCAACAGGCAAATGAGCTGCTTAATTCACCATGTGTTTGGACGACTCGAGGGCTGGCAGCCATTGAAAGTGAATTTTCCAGAAGGGAAAACAACCATGAAAGCCGCTTGAGCTTGAGCGATATATGAGTGAGAAAACAAGGCACTTATTTCACTTAAAGAGGTAATATTGCATGAAGTTGAAAACTAGAGATGATAACTAAGATTATAAAACAATGAACAAGTATAAAAACGGCTCAGATTTTATTAAAATTTAGTAATCCATATAGGAAAATATTTCCTGTATAAAATTTGGTTAAAACTAAGATGAACAATAAAAATATTTAAAAATGTAAAACAATTATATTGGTCCGTGTTCTGTGTTCACTTTTAACTTAAAAGTTGTAATTACTACTTGAATTTCTTTCTTTCTTGTACAAATGATAACTTAGCCAAACGACAAATGTCAGTAGAATTTCTAAGAGGAACTTGGTTGATCATAAAAACAAGCCAACAATATCAAAATTTATTTTTAAAATCGAAAATATTAATAAGAAAAACGGATATTCATCAAGTCTTTACTAATAATGAAGCGCTACCTTCTTTTAACGTGTACAAAAAGCTATAAAAATGTGGTTAGGGTTTAAAGAAATGGTTTTCTGCCATCGTCATGGCCCGTGCTGGTATTTTGCGTGACTCGCACATCCTGGTTCTGAGGGGATAAGTGCATTGCGTTGGCCTTCAACTGAAATTTATGGTGCGGTAGGTCACAAATAATGCATAACCTGGCCAAGTTGCAAGTGGCGTTTGGAGCTCAGGGGACTCTTGGCCAAGTTGGTCTACTTTTGGTTTTGGATTTCGTCTTGATTTTGACTCTGGTTACGGGTGGCCTGGCTTGGCAGTGATTTTTTTGTTTGGCATTCGAGAGTGCACTTTAATTAAAAATTTTACCAAAGCGAGAAGGGTGTGTGTGTGTGTGTGTGTGGGTGTGAAGGGTGTTTGAATAGAGTTTCGCATACGCCCTGGTGTGCGGCTTTTAATTGAAGTGCTGCCAGAGTTGAGGCTGCTGTTGTCGCCTGTGTATTTGCATAATGAACTCAATTAAAAGTTGGATACTTCGTCACTCCTAGCCCACTGAGGTTAGACTTAAGCTACTGGCAGGAACTGTTTAACGTGGCTCTCCTTCGCTGGTTTACTCCTTTCTGTCCTTGAGCAGCAGCTGCATTCGCTGTCCCACCAATCCCAGTGGCTTGCGGGGAACCAGATGACACGTGGATTGCCTGGAATTTATAGGAGGTTACATCGGGATTTATTTGTAGCTTTGTTACTCATACTTGTAGATGATTTTCTCGCGGTCCGCCCAGGGCCAAGATCGCTCCAGTTTATCCAGCCTGAAGAGCAACTGTTTTACGGGAATAAAGTGTTTAAAATTTAGAGATATATCATATAGAATTAAATTTAGCTAAAATCCTGTTAAAAAATTCCAAAGAATCAGGTGTGAATGCTGAATTTCTAAGTGAGCTGATTGGAATGCGCGTCGGCAGCCATTACCTTTTGTGTCTGTCCCTCGGCGGAGTCCTGGTTTGGGGCCTGCGGTGTGGGCGTGGCAGGGCGCACCTTTGATTGTTCCGGCTCCAGGTGTGCCTCCTTATTCTCTTCACTTTGCTCCTGCTCCAGCTCCGGCAGCTCCTTCTTTTGGTGGCCCAGTGTCAGTTCGCCATCGGCCTCGGCATCGTTAATGCGCACCTTCGGCACATTGCGCAGATTCCAGGTGTAGGTGGTGTTTAAGAAATCGCTTTCATTGTCGCTCTCCTCGTCCTCGTCCTCGGAGGGAAGCGCCTCTGGCAGTTTTATGAAGTACACCGCGTCGCCAGCCTCCTCCAGCTCATCCTCGGTTGCCGTGTCATCGCTTGCCTCATTTGAGGGATAATTGGCTTCCGATGCATAATCCGATTCCGGCGTGACATCCTTCAGCAGCTTTGATTGCTTGACACCTTCAGCGGCAGCTGAATCCTCCTCATCCTCATCCTCATCTTCTTCGACCTGCACCAAATCATCCTCATCACTGTCAGTGTCACCTGGCTGTTCCCCATCATTCCTCAGCTCGAAGTCAAGGGCATCCTCGTCGTAGGAGAATTTACGCTGCACATAGGTGTCCTCTGCATCCTCCTCCGACTTGCTCATCCGGCCAAAGCTCTGCGAGACGGTGGCCAAAGTGGAGGTCAGGATTTTGGGTATTTCGGCAATGGCCGACAGCTTTCGTTGCATCTCCAGCAGGCGCATCTCGATGGAGCTGGCCCGAATCCGTCCTAAAGGGAATCCATCAAGGTGGGTTGTTTGTTTTTTCAGGGGATTTGTAATTTATTAAAGCCACAAACACAGACACAAAATATCTAAAATTATATACACAAATGGGAAAGAAAACCCTGCACTGAGGGAAAATATATCCACAAGTCAGAAATTCCGATTGAAATATATACCAAATTAAGCACTCTCAAAGCCAGGATATTCCTGATTTAGGAATAATATTTTATCTCAGCACAGGGTTAAGACTAATGCCTGGGGTTAAGCCTGTTAGCTGGCACTCCCCTCACTTGGCCTTGGAGGCGCTGGGCAGAGCCAGCAGCATATTCTCGATGGTGCTGGAGCGCAGCTCCTGGTTGTCGCCCACCTCCGCGAAGAAACGCCGGATGTTCCTTACGATGCGATGGTGGGGCAGCTCCTGGACACGCACGAAGGAGTTACACGGAAATCGAGGACAGGCAGCGGAAGGTGGAGACCAGTGACCGGATACCGGAAAAATGGGGAAAAAGGAATGGGTTAGTTTCGATGGCGTGTTGTTGTTGGCATGCAATCGTGTGGGTGCTTCACCTGCTCCTCCTCGTCGGAGGACTCATCCTCGCTAAGCTCAATGACCACCTCGTTGCCCTCGTCGTCCAGCTGGGTTTTGGTTTTCTTTTTCTTGGGCTTCGGCGGCTCCGGGGGGTCTTGCCACATTATCGGATGCCAACAACGCGAGCCAAGCAGGGGGGTTGGGTGGAAGTCTACAAAAAGATACAAAGCCAAGTGAGTACCAGGGGGGGCACAGCTTATCTACTTTAATAAGACTGATTTCTTTTTATTTATAATGTTTATTTTAATTTGTTAATTTTCTCTTTTTCTGGTTAAAATCAGGTTGACGTGTTCTTACCACTTGGCGGCGGCAAAGGCTTGGGAATCCGCATGACAATCGACTTCTCCTCGCCGGCCTCGAACTGTCCCATGGGATCGTCCTCCTCCATGCTGTTGTCGGGGGTTGGAGAGGAGACAGTAGTTTGCTCATTACATAAGTTAAAACGTTGGCCCGAAGAGAGAGCCATAGGGGAGAGGGATCTGGGGCAACCTACTTGCGCAGCAGGAAATGTATCTTCTTGGGCGTTGCGTTGATTTTCTCGTGGGCCTGGGACAGAGTCAGCTGCGTGGCGTCCTCCTCGTTTATCTCGAGTATGATGTCGCCCAGGCGAATGCCCGCTTTGTCGGCCAGACCGTCGGGGGTCACCTGCAAGTCCAAAAGGATGAAATCGAGAGCAAGACTGCCGAGGCCCCTTCGGGTCCTTTCACTTTCCGCGGATCAAGAGGCGACCACTAAAAACCGCACGTCGCGAGATTCGAGGCGCAATTGAACGGGCATTTGCGTACTTTTGAGTTTAGGCTCGGAAAATATCGCGTATACGCGATGCGTGGACGGAGGACAGATACAGATGACATCTATACGACATGGGCTAACTGAGACGGCTGCTCGGGCAAAGAAACCCCCAGAAATAATGAAAAACTATAAAAATTGCAAGAAAAACATACACCCGAGGCGGTATTTCTGAAGGCGCCGAAGTGGACTTGCTAAATACCCTGGAAAATTAACTGAGAAGTAGAAGATAGTAGAAGAGTAGTTCTATAGAAAGTATTTTATTTTAAGTGTTCAATATTTTCTTGTATAAATTATAAACCAATTACGAAAATTTTCTGAATTTTTTAAATATTTTCCTTGACAAATTCCTAAGCCAGTTCATCATACCCTACAGACACTTGCCCTCAAAAAGAATTCAATTCAAAAATAAAGCAAACAAAGCAAATTTTTCTTTTAGACAAAACGCGAGACGTCAAAAGTAAAATGTTGCTCAAAAGCCGAAAGCAATACTAATAGTTGTGTGTGCCTTATGGGAAAACACTTTGCCTACATATACAGTACAGTACAAGCCAGAGAAATAGGTTTAGAATATTTTTAAAAAATATTTAAAATATTAAAACAATTCTACCCTTAAGGAATTTCCCATAAATATTCATAGATTCAATATAAAAAACACTTTTCGTGGGATATTTTCTCCAATACTTCAACTAAATCATTTCAAAGCTGAACCATATTTCAACGACTCTCATGGTAAGCATTATTTATATATGAAAAAAAAGAAGTGGAACTCGCCTAACCCAAATATTGTACATTCACTCGAGACTCAAGTGAGCCAAAAGATATACTGGGAGGGGAGTAAAAAAAAACAAGGCAGAACGAAAGACGGGGCGCGGCAGGTGCAGATGCCAAAAACAATAAAATGTTTCCTTCTATATGGCGGCAGACAATTTGCATTCGATGTGACTTCGTCATAGCATAATTGGAATTCAAATTTGACTTTAGATTGCTTGTCGTTCTGGCCCGCGACCAAAACGAAAACAACAACAGCAAAAAAAAAAAAAAGAAAAATGGAAACAATGACGAAACGGCAATTGCAGCTGTCTAAGAGCTACAGGGAAATCTGGCTAAAACATTTTTCTATTTTTTAAACATTTGCAAAGCCACATTTTCAAAGGCATTTCTACTTTAAGTAACTTTCCTTCTGGTTTCTTTTATTGGAAATTATTGATTTTTATTAACCCAAAGTCAAAATAATCCTGCATGTTCATAGGGAGCCCAGCCTGTAACCCGAAAATTGGTTCAATTTAACCAGCTGCAGCCGTTCCCAGGAACCCAGAGTACTTTGGGGGACGGACTCACCTGGAAGACTGTTAACGGCATATGGAACTCAGCGCCACCGGTGATAAGGAAACCCCATCTGGTGTCATCCTTGGAGGCATACGCATCCGAGTCGATGTCGAAGGCGGGAAAGCCATCGGTGTCGCCAATGCCGCAGGATACCTTGATAACGGGCGCCCTCTTCCGCGTCTCCGGCACCGACCAGACCAGTCCCAATGGCTCCGGCATCGCTTTTTTTGTTTACCCGCTCGTGCTCTTCAAAGAGACGCCGGATCTCTCTTCCTATCCGCTGGTTTTATTTATAAATTCGCACTCGCGCTGGCGGCGCTCTTGCTTCCTCCGTTTGTTCACTTTTCCTATTTTCCGCTTTTCTATTTTCTCAGCTATTTTCCTTGGCTCTCTTTGCCTGCGGAACTTTTAGTTGCTCTTTTCCTAGTAGTTGTTGTTGTTTGCCTGTCAAAATTTCGCCCGTGCAAAAATATTATTTGTATTTTGCCGGCTTTTTCAGCACACAATCTGAATAGCGTTTGCTTTTCCACTTTTCCACTGCTGTTGACTGAAACTTTGACTCGTCGGCGAAATCTTGTCCAATTATGGGGCTTATATAATCACTAGAATTATATAATCATTAAATCTTGAGCTGCAAGTGCGTAAAAGTGCAATGGAAACTCCAAAAATTTCAAACACTCAAGGCCACAGATATTGGGAGCACTTTGTGGGCTAATTATGGAAAGTGTATTTAACACTTTATGGCCTTTGGCTAGTCGGCTGCTTCTTTTTTGTGTGATTTTTTTTGCTTCTTCTCGTTTTCACTTCCACACGACTGCACTCGACTTGGGCAACTGAAATAATTTTCGAGAAGTTTTCCTTTGTGGCTGCAACTATTCCATTTTCCTCTCAGTCTCACTAGTCCTCTCCTCTTTTTGGCGTGTTTTTTTCTTTTTTTTAGATAATGTAACGCCGCAAAATTGTTGCATTCATGTTGATCTTGTTTTTTGTATTTTCTTTGGGTTTGTTTGAGAGTTTTTTGTGGTGTTAGTTTAAAGCTGAAATTGTGTTATCGAGTTTCTTTTATAATCATAACTTCTTTGTGCTTATACCTTAGTTTACTTTAATGTAACATCAATCAAAATTTTAAGCAAATATTCAATTTGTAATGTTTATATCAAGCATTAACCTGAAATACTAAGCATTTTGTAATATATATAACGATAGATACTCCAATAAATATAAACCAACTAAGCAATTTCCATATTCATACTTTAATTTCATTGCTTAATTACAGTCATTATTATTTGTACAATTACTACATAACAATAAATACTTCTAGCTACATAACATAGTTAAAATCGATGTATATTGATATATTGATCAAGTTAGCGATGGGAATCATCCTAGAAACTAGCAGCTGTTGCTTTATTATATTTCCTTATTTTTCCAACCACAGGTGCCCTGACATAGCCAACTATCAGGTATTAAAGCCACGTAAACAACTTGAACGTGCCAAGCTCACAAGCAAAGTATTCCGCTTGTCAAGTAAACAACAATGGAAACTCAGAAATTCATATGTGAGAAAAAGAAAATTTCAAGAGAATGGCCCCAAACACAAGTCACACACACCTGATGGAAAAAATTCGATTAGCACGGGGAATACTGCATGCTGACACAACCTACATATACACACAATCAGATGTTCAAGGAATAGTTCACACAAAATTTCTTGTTGGCCACAAAGGGGTGGGCCCAAAACGTGCCTTATCAGTGCCACAGCAACAACAATAAAGGCTGACAGCCAGGAGACAGACAAAGGGATGCCGGCAGCAGCAAAAATTTGCCAGCAAAGTTTTCAATATCCCAAAAAACGTTGGAACGAGTGCAAAATGCAGATGACACGAGTCAAAACAGAGGCTACACAAAAGGACAACAAATCCTTCGTTTATGCATAGCTTTTTTTCACTTTAAAAAGATGACACTAAAGGCATAAATATTATCTTATTTTATGGAACAATTTTTAAAAATATATTCCATTTATTGTGCTAATATTACTATTATTTTTCAAATGATGTATGAATTATTTATTAAACATATAATAACATAAATATAAATTTTAAGTGATAACTTTATAACTATATATACAAAATTTATATTTCTGACATAAACTTCACAATAAATCAGTGTAAAAATATCATTAATTTTTGAAGGCATAAACCAAAATCAAACTGACACATCTTTGGTCTGAGTTTGGCGACATTGACGCCGCCGTCTTGATAAGGATGGTATTAGCGATAAGGCCGCAGATGACAAATGGTTGAGGGCTAAGGGACGGTGTGAAATGAATACCAAAAGTAATGTCAGCTTGGGGTTTCTTTAGACTTTATTTAAATTCATAAGGTGGCACCTTTTTTCGTGCCTTTCCAGAGTCACCTTTAAGACTGTCTGTCCTTTAACTTAGCACAAACCGCATACATGTCTTCTATTTCGATTCTAAAACTTATTGAAGGGCTCTCCTCCAGATCCTTAAAGTCCTTTTTAGGGCAAATGGTGGCAAGGAGCTCTAAATTCCTATACCTCTCCCATTCAGCGGATCTTCGTCTTCTGGGGGAGACCTCCATGGAGTGTTCTTCGGTTTTCTCGGACTGATTGTCTTCTTCGGATGATACGGAATCAATCTTAAATTCAACTTTATCCTCAGCAGCATCCTTTTGTTCCTCCGATGAGCTGTCTGAAGCCTTGGGAAGTTCGATGCTATCCACCTTCTCGACGCTGTCCGCCTTCAACTCCTGCTGCGAGTCCTCCTCTAGAGACTCCTCCAGACTTGCTGGCAGAGCAGATGCTGCACTCAGCACGAGGACTGAAATCAGCAGCAGCAACACCGACCGATGCATTTTTTATTCTTGATCTTTGCTATATTCCTTTAAAGTATTTAGAGCTCCTCTGACCGAACCTTTTGCGACAATTGATTTTTTTAAACTGACTTCGAGCCATGCCAAAAGTTTCCCAAGAAACCTCCACACATTAACTATCGCACGTCGGGAATTATGTGATTATTGACTCAAATGCTATTAAGGCATCCATCCAACACGACGAGCCAGATAACGAACAACAAACAAAACAAATAATATAGCACGCAATAGCTGCGTCATTTAATTTGCATTATAAAAGCAATTCAATACGTAAATATATGCATATAATATATTTAAGATTAATCCGAGCAAGCTTAAGATCGTTTTTCTTGGAAGTGAATATATATATACCACGGATTATAGCAATTATTATAATATTTTATATAAAATGTTTATTATAAATATATTTTCCAAGAAAAACGTGAATATATTAAGCATTAAAAAGTATATTTCAATCGGATACTCCAGCTTTCCTCCTTGTTGTTTTGCAATCTATAGAAATTAGTAATTCCTTTACATTAACCAATCATTAATATGAAATTGATAAGTTTGTCTTGGTAAGAAAGGAACTGCTGATAAGGCACTTTTTAGTCTACATTACATTTAAAAAAAAGTTTGGTAAGTTTAAGTTTATTCCAGAAAAACAAAAAAAAACAATGTAAATATTTTTATATTAGTTTTGGATTATAATTTATTAAAACTTGTAATTTATTTAAAACCCTTTTTAGTGATATTTATTATTTATTAAAACAATCCAAGTATTTCAGATAAATCTTATTTTCACGTCTTAACCCTTTTTTGCCAACGCCTCTTGTTCCTCCTTCAACTCCCGCAATTGCTGCTCCTTGGCACATCTTAGCTCTTCAAGTATATATTCCTCAAGAAAATCCTTTACGTCAACCTCACGCCTTGCTCTCGTCTCAGAGTCCCAAACAGGTAGATCTTGTATACGGACTTCACTCTTCGTTTTAAAGGTATAACAGACTCGTTTCGAGCCGGGTTTTCTTTCCGTGCAAACTACAACCTCCTGAAAATCGAGCTCTTCAATTTCATCGTACAGCAATTCAAGTAACTGTGTTTCGTCGAGTTTGTTAATAGGCACTGGCGATGAGCATGCCCGATCCAAAATCATCCAAGAAACTGAGATTAGCAGCAGCAACACCGGTGGATGCATTTTACTTTCCTAGCTCAGCGAAACGACTGATTTTTCCGATCCCAATCTGAGCAGTTGCACCGGTTTTTCATGAAACTTAATCAACCTAATCTTTATATAGAATATATAAGCTATTACCTCTTCCCCCTCTGACAACGAGCTAAGGTTCTAAGTAAGTGTAAATTCAAACAGATTGAGAAGAGAATGAGCCACCTTTAGCTCTGATTATATATATTTATATACCTTGTCTTTAGTTCCATTTTTTTAATTGTATAAAATATGATTAAAAGGCTGGATAAGATCGAACTAAAATCTTGAGAATGGAAATGGAAATCAGCATAAATAGAAATATTGAAGCTATAGCTTCTTTCCCTGATTTCTAAGCAATAAAAATGACAAAAGGTAATTATATTATATTTTCTTTATTTGTACTTTTTAAGGTTTTCTGCTGATCACTCCGCATAAGTGGCCTCGTTGGCCTCCTTTGAGCTGACCTCCATGACCTCGCAGCCCTGAGCGTAATCCTCGATGCTGCCATTATCCTTGACATCTGCCACAGCCCGTGCCATCTCCTCGTCCAGCTCCTTCTCCGCCTGGGCATCCAGCTCCAGTTCACCGCTGGCCTTCTGCACCAGTGGCTGATCCTGTTCATTGACCTCACGCCTGAAACGCTCTGTTTCAAAATCTTCGTCTTGATTAACCTTTTCGCCATCTTCATTTCGATTCATGTGTCGCAGCATTGACAAACACATGTCATTGTATGTTTTCAATTCGGTTTCTTCTAGATTATATTTCCTCACAATTCCAGCAGCCATCCGACCACAAAACGGAAGAGGGTGAAGGGACCGACGTCTCCTGGCAGTGGCCTGCGTGGTGGTTTTGTGTTCTTCAGATGAAGATTCCCCAGAACTGTTTGCCTTGTCCTTGTGCTCCTCGGAGGAGCTGCTCGGATCCTTGGCGGCCCGCTTTTGGATGGCATTTTCGGTGTTGATCGGATCCTCAGCTGTCTCAGAAGTCGGGGAGTGGCTCGAGGCAACGAGCATAAGCCGCCAAAACTGCGAACACATTATTCTCTTGTACTCTTCTAAATAACTAGGGTCAGCTCCAGGAATTTCAAAATCCTCATCAAAGCAAACCGGAAGGTTTTTTATAGAGAACTTCGTGATTGTTTGCCGACGTCTCCTGGCAGCGGCTTGGGTGGTGGATTCCTCTGCAGCATGATCTGTTGTCGTTTTTTGCTCCTCGGACGAAGAGGCTCCGGAGCTGTTCGCCTTGTCCTTTTCCTTGTCCTTGTGCTCTTCGGAAGAGCTGCTCGAATCCTTGGCAGCGCGCTTGTGGATGGCGTTTTCATGGCTAGAGGTATCCAGCAATTCCAGTTGCTCTTCTGACTCCCAGGTGTCCTCCAGAAGCAGATCGAGCCAGGACGTCTCGGCGGACTCCTCCAGGCTCAGCGGCAGAGCAACTGCCGCGCTAAGAAGGAGCGCAGACATCAGCAGCAGCAACACGGATCTATGCATGGCTGTTATCCTTTCTTAAACTATATGTAGGTGTATTATATTTTCAGGTATTGTGTATTTCCGATCCTCTAGGCACTCCTGGGCACGTAGACTGACTTTTTCGAACTGAATGTGAGCGGTGGCAAGGGTTTCCCACGAAACCTCAACAAATTTATTATCGCCCCGACAGCGATTTCGTGATTATGAACTCAAATGCAATTAAAGCGGCTTAGCAGCATGCATATATTTCATACGGATTGCACCCAAACACCGCCACTTCCCATACTGCGCAATTTCCGAGTTTGTGCCAATTGCGATTTCAGACTTTCAGACTCTCGAACTGGCGGACTTGCCTTGCATAATTCATGACAACAAATTGAGATGCCGAGCGATGCTCCGCGATGCTCCCGGCTCAAATCCAGCGAAATCGGCAGCGATAAGCCCGGCAACTGAGATGCGGATCACAAGAGATCAACCCGACGCGCAATTTGTAATTATTGACGCTTTCCAAGAAAAATAAATACAAGAAACATGTAAATAAGTATGTGCACTTGAAGAAATTAAATGTTTGTTTTTACTTCGTTTTTTGGCAAGCAGATTGTTAAGGGAAATTGTTTTGCCAACAAATCTATTGTGTTGACTTTTGAAATTAAGAGACCAAAGATAAGAGCTTGTATATTTTTCTTATATTTCCGTAACAGAGAAATATAAACATTTATTCATTTAAAAATATCACTTTTATATTTAAACTTATCAATATTATTCCTTAATAAACCATTTATAAATTCTTTTGGAACTGTTGATCCCTTTTACAGCTTCTTGGAAATAGTTTTATTTTTTCGCATTTTCTTGTTTTTCCTAAAAATATTATATATTTGTCTGTCTAAGCATCATCTTTTCTGCCTCGGATTCTAGGAATTCTTATCAACTGTAAACAATATTTTTAATACGTAAACAATGACTCATAAAATTTTGTTTCTTTAGGTAATTGATCAATATTTTTGTTACGAGCACATTTAAATTTAAAGATTAGGAAAAATGTGTGCCAGATTTGCTGGAAGCACTCTGTAAGGTCTTCAGTACAAAACATTCAGTGAAAATCAAAGTCAAAATAAGCCAAATGAAACTAATTTGTTATTGTAAAATATAGTAAACTATTTAGGAAATTACCTAGGAAATATATATAAGACTTATATGTATAAGAAATTCAAACTTTGACCTAATTTAATTAAATATTGTAACTTTCTCTCGGTGCACAGCACTGGAATACTCGTAAATTACAATTTCGCCGGTCGGAACGTGCCAGCGTAATTGAAGCGTGCCGAGAAGATTCAAGTTCAAGAGCTCTCCTAAGTATCCGCCGGATAGCGAGATACTGAGATACTGGAGCCGGCTGAGCCGTAAAGGCCACTTAATGCAAGGCGGCGGCATCGTGGTAGGCAAACAAACTCCAGAGCCAAAAAAAAAGGATTCTCGGAAAGTTCCGGCCAGCATGATAAATAGCCGGGGTTTTGGCCAACTTTCGGCCAAAGACGTGAGCGGACTGGGCAATTGGCCCCAAAACGGAGGCCTCATGTGTGTGCCAGACCATCCCCTTGACGAATGTCCAGGGGCAATTATTTCGTCGCCAGTGTTTACCTGGCTATTAAAAGCCCATCATCAGAGGAGCTCGACTATTATTCACCTGAAGCCAACATTAAAAGGGGGCGTGGCTGGTGCTTAAGCGGAATCGAAAACAAATTTATTTAACAGCCATCAAAGAGGATTGGCCCTCTCTACGTCTGTCATAAAGTCGTAAAAAAAAGTTCCTGGCAGAGCCGGCTTATTGAATATGATTCCCAGATGTCCTCCGTACGAACATCAAAGGCAATGGGGAGCCGGGGAAACGGGAGCCTGGGAGCCAAGGATAACGTCGCAGACTCATGCATAATTTAAAGCAATTTGGCATTTTGCTGAATCAATTTCCACGGCAAGACAATCAAACGGAAAGTATTAAGACCTAAATCCATTCCAAGTGCTGCAGTGCTTTCTATGCAAATTACACTCTCCAGCACTGCACCACTTTTATGTAAATCCGGTCGCCACCTGGTGTATTGGCCAAGAAAATACAAAAAAAAAAAAAAAAGATACATAACAGCCGGGATGAGGTGTATTAAAGCGCGGTGTATATGGCCGACATTTTGTCATATTTATTAAAAATTTATCAATGTCATAAAGTTTACCACACAAACGCATGCCACCAGAGGCGCACAATGGGCAACGATCAATCAAGTTTAAAGCTCTCTCAAGATTTACTTAGGACTCCAAATTGGACCGCAGATGGTGATAAAACAAAAAAAGGTAAATGTTACAGGCTTAAATTTGGAAGAAGTTTTGGTGGAGAGGTAAAATTCGAAGGACTTTAAGGAGTGATAATGGGAATTGGTATTTCTTTGTCACTTTTAAGCTAAACTTTTCATTTCGAACAACAAAAGCTATTTCCTAAAATTCCTAAACTTTTTGGTTTTTCTTTCCGATATGCCTAGAGGATCCCCTGTTCTATATTTATTTAAATGTAGTTTAAAAAACACATAAAGATGCTCATATAACCAAAAGCCTAAAAGTATGCTTTTAGCCACAAGCATAATAATAATTAAAAAACTGTGCTAAATAAACCCCTAAACATATGTATATTTAAAGTGTTAATTCCATTAAATTCAACAAATTCTGTATATACTACCAACTTTTTATCTAGCTATTCTAAACTTTTGTGTTATTTGTCACAATCATACAGAAACTCAAACACACAACATCGGCAGGTACATTTAACACTTAATAAAATACATAAAAAAATATATAAAAAAAAATAGTTATAATTATTATAATCACAGAAATTACATTTACACATACACATACAATAATGGCCCAAGACCCCGAGTCCACCCCGGAAGTACTGCAGGTCCTCGAGACCACTGAGGCAACTGCAGAGCAGGCGGAGATTGCAATTGCCCCCGTGGTCTTGCCTTCTGAGGCAAGGCTCGAAGTCGCAGTGGAGGCTCCCAAGTCAAAGGAGAAGCTCTCCCAGGCGTCCGAGTCAAGGGAAACGCTCTCCCAGGCTTCCGAGTTAAAGGAAACGCTCTCCCAGGCTTCCGAGTTAAAGGAAACGCTCTCCCAGGACCATGCTCGGAAGGAAACTGGACCAGCTACCGAGTTGGAGCCGGAGCCGGAAAGCCTGCCCACGGAACACACTAAAATTGCATTTTCCAACGAAGTACACCAGGTTGAAGGGGAAAATAGGGTTGATGTCGAAGGTGATGCCTTATCGGAAGAAGAGCTAAAAACTAAAATGCAACAAGAACGAAAGCAGCGCCGAAAGGAAGCGATAAACAAACGCTACAATTTTGGTACGACTGGTGAAGAGCCCACGGAAATGGAGGATATGGTCGGTGAGGAAGAGGAAGAGCATGAGGAGCACCAGGAGGAGCATCAGGAGGAGCATCAGGAGGAGCATCAGGAGGAGCATCAGGAGGAGCACCAGGAGGAGCACCAGGAGGACCAACAGGCAGAGGACAAGGAGGACTACAAGGATGAAGAAGGGTTAGGATCTTCTGGCTCTATCTTAGAGGAGGAAGAGAGTGACATTGAGGAACCCAAGTTAAGAGTTAAGGAAGCCCCGACTCGGGGAATTTTCGGGGCCCTGAAACAAGATACCGCCAAAGATGACAAAATCTTCTACAAGGATACCAAGTACGATAATATTGATAGTCCCAGCGTCCTATCGGCTAAATCGTCTAAATCAATTAAATCGTCTAAATCAATTAAAATCGCCTCGGACACTGTCCAGTTGAAGTCCGACTTTCTGCGCAACTTTGAGATGCCCAGCCTGTCGGACATATCGGAGGAGAATGAGCCCGTTTACCCGCCACAAAAGGACAATTCAATCACTAGCATGGACGAGGATAGGGGCTACTTTGTAGATCCAACTACTGGAGCTTTGCTCTCAAGCTCGTCTTCCTCGGATCAGATTTCGCTTTTCGGACAAGAAAGCCAGGATGACATGGCGGCAGCTGCCGACCTTCAGGAGGGCTCTTCCGAGATTTTGGAGATGCACGATAGTATTGTCGTTCCCTTTCCTGAGGCAAAGAAGAAGGCGTTAACCTTTGATGACCTTCATGATTCCTTTATTGCGCTTCAAAACAAATTGGAACTCGAGGATGAGGAGGAAATTCCCATGAAGGAACTCGGAGTGGACACCATAGTTCATGATTTCGTGGAAGATCTACTACAGAAGATAGTCACAGCATATGAATCTCAGAGATTAGACGATAGACTGCGGTTGAAGTGCGACAAGACGAAGCTGGCTAATGAACTGAGAAATATCACCGACACTTACATTTGCGAGAAGGCCTTAAACGATATGCTAAACACCCGGCTCGCGGACTACTACAAGCGTCTCCGGAACAACCGGGTCTTCGCACAGCTGAACGAGGAAAGGATGAGCTACTACTACGCCCGCTACTTCAATGCCCTGTGCACGGTGGATAACCTGAACTTGCACGTGGACACAATTAAGCATAAATACGCCGCCCAGATTAACAAGGTGATACTCAACCTGCAAGGGGTCCATAGCGTTGTCTTCACCTCAGAGGCAGTGCTAGAGCAAAAAATGCGCAAGTACCTCGTTCGGCCAGACTCCGAATTCCTCAAACGCTACGTCGATTGGGCACTACGACAAATGAATGCGAAGCGGAACGAGATCAGCGACATGCGAATCCGTCTAATCACCAAACAGCACACCTTGGGCCACCTTCAGGCGGTGAGTAAGCGGTTCACAAAAGAATATAATCTTTACTAAAGTTGATCCTTCCATAGAGACTTAAGGAACTGGAAACTCTCAGCAGCACTGTAAGCATCCAGGACTATATATGTATTCAGAACGACGTAATTAACCTGCAGAAGAAAATTGAAGGTGAGCACCGGCCCGAGATTTTAAGTTCACCAAGAATTTAGTTAACCAATCCCTATTCCATTTGTAACAGAGCGCAATGTGGACCTAAACAAGATACGTAGCCAGTATCTGATGGAAGTTCACCACACCCATCACAATAGGGAGAAGGCTCTCGCTCTGGGAGACAAGCTGCAACTTAATAAGATCACGCTGACCAAGGCCATCAATAAGCAGCGATCTCTGCGTGCCAGGCTGTATAGCGAAAAGCTGGAGCGCACAAAGATCCGGGAAAAGCGCAAGGAGCTGACCTTCCAGGGCGGCATCCTGGCGATGCCCTCGCTGATGTACGAGTACGACCATACCGTTGAGCAGGTAAAGGAGAGTCAGGAGCGGGTGACCAAGCTAAGAGACACTGTGAAGGCGATCACACGCCGTGTCTCCCTACTTACAGCACGGAGTATCTAGAAATTTGTCATCTTTAGTCTGAAAGTATCAATAAAAACACGGATATGCAACAAGGCTTTTTGCTTTAGGGGTCGGTTTCTACACTTACTAGCAAAGCAAATCCATTAGCTGCCTACCTAAAATTGATCCTGTGATGTTTGCGAAACTTTAAAGGAAGGGTAGACACCGGGCCAATAAAAAAATTCTAAAAGAATAGCTTTCTATAGTGGGTTAAGGTGAGACCTCTCTCTTACTTTTTAGGGGTAATTTAACCTATTTAAATGAAAATGAAATTACGAAAACCTAGTAAACTGAGTCCCCTGTCTGTCAAGGCAAAAGCCTAAACCACACTCACAATACATCCGTACACAAACAAGAACACAACAATTCTCCACAAAAAAAACCCTTAAAATAGGAACAAAAAACACAAAAAATAATATTAAAAAATATATATACAAAAAAACACATAATACTATATAAAACGAATATAAAAAATACAAAATATATAAAATAATAATAATAAAAATAAGAACTGAAGCTATAGCCTCACTATATAGAGGTATAAAACCGTTAAACTGCAGAATTTGGACGGTAAAAATACATAGAAAAGTATATACCCCGCGCAATGACGACTGATACAATTAAGGATTTGGAGGAGTCGCCTGTACTACTGCAGGATGAGGAAGCCCAGGAATTAACATTCCAGGAGGTGATACCCCAAGAGTCTCCACTGCAGGAGGTGATACCCCAAGAGTCTACACTGCAGGCGGTGGTTGCCCAGGAGTCAATACTGCAGGCGGTGGTACCCCAAGAGTCATTGCTGCAGAATGTGGTACCCCAGGAGACATCGATGCAGGATGAGGTACCGCCGAATTCACTGGCGGAAGAAGTAGGAACCTTAAGCGGTGGCAAGCTACTACGCGATGAACAGATGGCGACGAAACTGAGGCGCGTTCAGGAAGTCTGCCGCCGACTGAAGTTGCAGGAGCAGAAGGAGAGAGAAATGCTACTGCAACTGGAGAAGGGAACAAGCTCCCCTGATGACTCTTCATGGGAACAGTATGCCTTTCAGGAAAATATCGAAGAAGACATTGAAAGCCAGAATTTTGAATCCAATGTGTCATGGACATCCGTCACATCTGATGGTGATGAAGACCCCCTCAAGAGGCACAGTGAAGTGGACAGCGAGAGCTCCCTAGATCCCTTGAGGACGGCGGTCGATGGGCTAATGTTAGTGCCCAGCATCTCAGACTTGTCGCTGTCCGATGACTTCGTAATAGAACACGTAGTGTCCCAGAAATCCTTTGCCCCTGGCGGACCCGTAATCCAAACCGAGAGCGACAGCGAGCTGTCGTCCGAATCGCAATCAGCGGACTTGAGCGAATTGCAATCGGGCCATTCGCTCCAGAAAGTCGAGGTCGATAATGAAAAAGAGGATACGTCGTCGTCCATCGAATCAGTCGCGCAAACTCCCATTATCACCAAGCAAAGTCAAATCTCGTTTCTCAATCAGTTTTTCTCCATGAATACCATATACTCCCAAGCTGAACAGCAAATTTCAAAGCCCACGGATACGAAACTGATCATTAAAAACTTCATTACCGTGCTCATTACCAATGTGATTGATGGTCTCAATCACGATCAGCTGTTACGGACTCAGCTTGATAAGAATAAGCTCATCAGCGGACTACTGGACGGCATGGAGCAGCTTATAGAAGTGGCGAACTTGAACAGGGCGCTTAACCAATTGATGGTCGAACACTACCTCTTGACTAAGAATAAACGCGCCCTTGAAGAGCTTTCGGACCGAGATAGGTTAAGCTACCAAGAACGCTACAGTAAGGGACTAGCCAGCGTGGCCCTGGGAGAGGATCGCGTTGCCTTGATCAAGGTCAAGGTCGGCAAGCTGACCACCAAGGCGCAGTTGGAGCTTAATAATGCCATGTACGCCGCACTCGGCACCGAGCACCATTTGGAGCAGACTGTGCGCCAAGTCCTCATCCGGTCAGATTCCGAGAATGATCTGCTGAAGCGCCTGGTAGCGCGCGAGCTGCGCCTAATGCAGCATTACCGGAGGGAGGTCGGCGACAACCGGTATTTGCTGATTATTCAGAAGCACAATCTTGCCAAGTTAGAAGAAGTACGTATCCAGCGAAGGCTACCTTTGTCCGTCTTAACTCTTTTAAACTCTTCTTCTTCAGGAAATCAAAGAGCTGGGCTACGTGGATGACCATGTGAGCATGGACGACTTCTTATGCCTGCAGAGCAAATTACAGGGCATCGAAAGAAAAGTTGAAGGTATTAAGATTTTCCTGTTTCTTGACTTAAGTTTCTCATAATTATATGTGCCACTTTATCCCTCTCTTAGACCGAAATGCTGAGCTGAAAATGATGCGCGCAAAGTACCACAAAGAGCTAACCCAGGGTCAGCACAATCGAGAAAAAATGCTGGCACTGCAACACAGACTAATATTTCGCAGGGATCAGTTAGCGAAAAGGAATATAAAAAAGACCGAGCTTAGGAACCAGCTGTACCTCGCAAAAATTCAGCGCAAAAGTATAAGGGCGAAGACCAATGAGCTGGTTTTCCAGGGCGGTATTATTTCCATGCCATCTCTGATGTACGACTACGACAGGACACAGGTCTACATCCAGGAGACGCGGGAGCGCGTAGCAGGGCTCAAGGAAACCGTCCAGTCCCTTATTCAGAGAATAAGCTTTGTGTGTCAAAAAGATACTAATAGCAGTATAAATTATTGACTCATTTCACAATAAAGCAGCAAGAGAACAAAATCTTAATAAAAACATTTTTGTTTGTCACTTTTCCTTATACGATAAATAACAGGCTTAATTAATTGACAAAATCCAAGAGTTTTTACCTATAGAGGATCATGCATCAATAATAACCCTGAGCCGGTAGAGAAAATCTCTTAATGAACCATTATAAAAATATATTTCCCCCTCAGATTTTCAGTGTCAAGTTTGTTATTTATTTGCCTGTTTTTATTTATTCCCACTAGATATTCGGCAACAACTACAAAGAAAAAAATGAAATGCGGAGAAGAAAACGTTGAATTCAAGCAGCCAATTGTTGGAAATTTCTAAAAATTCTAAAAATAATAACAATTCTGATTTTGGCACGCTTTATTTTTAATATTTTTTTTTGTTATGAAATGGGAAGTACTCACGTTCTTAGTATGCTAATTAGCCTCAACTAATGGAGCAAATATTTATTTAGAAAAAGGTACATATAGATGAAAACTAGGAAAATAACCCATACTTATACCCCTGGAAATACCCTTGTCAAAATGTGAAATGCTTAAAAGACTGATTCATTAATGATTAATACTTCTTATGCTATGAATTTTAAGGTTCTTTTTGAGAAGATTTTATATATAGACTTTGGTTTAGTAAACTTTTGGGGGTAACGGGCAACGATAATAAATTAGGATATTAGAAAAGTGCCAGTTGAGGCGTGAAATATTTATTCTCAAAAACTGTCTGCCATTTTTTTCTTGGCACCTTCATCTTGGTTGCACCTGCAAATACATACATCCCTGTCTATGTTGTTTTTAGAGAGAACAATTTCACGCCTCGGACAGGTGAGCTTTTAGCTTGATTTTTCATAGATATATAGATGGATATATAGCCCAATCTTGATGTTAACTCTGCCCATCGCCGATGTAGTGACCTCGACACGCTTCAGCGGAATTTTTTCAAATCGCACACAGCCGATCAGAGTGTGTGTTTATGTTTAGTTTATAACGGCGATAGGATGATACATATATATATATATATAAAAAAAAAATTCATTTATAGAACGTACTGCTGCGTACCATTTGGTGGCCATAGGCAGATAAATAAAGTCTCTACACCCACACAAAACAGCAAAAACGGCAAGAACGTAGAGAGCTCAAGGTTACAGAGGTGATCGGAATCGGATTGGAAACTGGGATTTTTGAATTACTTTATTGTGTACTCATAAATATGATTAACTTAGGCGTATACTTAATTTTAAGGCTTTCTATGTTGCTACGAGCCTTTGCGTTGCTTTTGTGTATTTGTTGTTTGTGTGAGTGTTTGTTGAGTTGTTGTTGTTGTTGATATCTTTTTTTTTTTTTTGCTTGGTGAGGAATATCTTTGTGTTGATGTTTGATTATACAAAATATATATATATAGAGATATATATGTGTGTGTGTGCGGGTCACTTAGCATACGTGTAGAAAAGAAGAAAAAGGACCATCGCTCGCCGCTTACTTGCCGAGCAGGATCTTGCGGCCAGCGCCGAGGTTCTGGCCAGCCTGGGTGGCTCCCTTGTTGGAACCGGCCTGCAGACCAACAATGGTCTGGCCGGCCTTCAGCTGCTCATCGGTGAAGTCGCGCTTGCACTCATCAGCGGGCTTGGGGCCCAGGAAGGGACCCTTGAAATCGTCGTGCTTGTAGGTCTGCCAAAAGCCAAGGAAAGATCAATTAAAAATCTAGTTCTCATCGAAAACTAAAGATCTCAAACTTACGGCACGGCCCAGAGCGAAAATGGTGTTGGTCACGTTGGCAATGTCCTTCTTCTCATACAGATCGACGGTCTGGAAGACATCGATATCGGGCACACCGTAATCCTTGAGCGCCTTCTGGAAGTTGTTGATGTTCTCCATGAACTTGAACTGGCCGCCCGAGGAGTTGACCTTGGGCACCGAGTTGGGCGCCAGGATGTTGATCAGCTTGCACAGCACCTGGCCGTCCTTAAGCACATCCTCGTAGGCCTGGCCGGCGGGGAACTTCTCACCAATGATGGCCTCAACCCATTCCTGGGCCTCCTTGTCCATCTCGGGATTGCGCTTGCCGGCAATCTAAGTTGGATTAAAGAACAAAAAGGACACAACATTTAGTCACAATTTCTTCACAGTATAATATTTTTTTTTCACTGTTGTTTTCACTCTTGTCTTGATTCGATTTAAGGATTCTTTTCACTGCTTGTTGATTATTCACCTTGGCACGAACGGCACGCTCTAGAGACATGTTTGTTTTCTGGATTTGGGTTCGGGTTCTGTGTGATCTTCACAAGAGACTGATGCAGCCAACGGGGCGTATGCGGCTTTTAAAGCGCGCGAGAGAGCGTTCTCCGTCCGATTCGGAAAGCGTTCAAGAATTTTCCAAAAATATATCCGAATTTCGGAGTCGAGTGTGTGAGAGGCTGTGAAGTGTGTGGGCGTTCTATATAATCGAAGCGCCGACTTTTGCCCGCCACCCTCGCATGACTCGTCCGCTATAATTAAAGACCATCGTCGTCGTCGTCGTTGTCGGCCGAGTAAAAGGAAAATATCCAAATGCTTAATAATTTTCACACACGTCCAATCGATAGAAATCCGTGTTAGGCTGTGTGTGTGTGTGTAAATGCGCTCCCTGCTCTGCTGCTCATTTGCATGTTAACCGCATTTTTTCGGACTCGACCAGGCCAGCTGTCCTGCTGACATTCCGCATTCGGTGGATGCCATTTTGCACTCGTTTCGGGCGCGTGCATTGCTCGTAATTTTAATAAGAATCGGCAGGGATTGGGTCATAATTAAAAATGGCAACGAATCGTATCTCATCGTACGACACATTCTCCAGAAGCTACTTTGCGAACAATAGTCGAGGAGAGGAAAGTGCGAAAAATAATTAACCATAAATATTCAGAGACTATATTTATATTTTATAGCTGTCCTGGGTTTTTAAGGGGGAATTTATTGAACAGGCAATAACATTATGAAGGTGATATTTGCTACCTTAAAAGTTAATTTATGGCTTGGAAGTCATACAAAAATTGAAATCAGGATTATAAAGTTACTAAAAGATAAATAAAATAAAGAGCTCAAAAGGAGATGTAATGGTTTCATTTATAAAGGTTTATTGTTCCTTTAAAATAAGTTCTAAAATTGAGTTCTTTCAAATTTATAAATTGTTAAATATACCTCTGATGCTTGTGAATTTCTTACATACAATTACATGCTTATATTTAAAAGAAGTATCATATATTCCTATAAAACCCCATAATAATTAAAACCACTTTGTATTTAAATGAGTCTACAAATTATGTATTAATAAACCGAATAATTTCGATAATTAAAAGACGCACACCTCCTCATAATTGCAGTTAAAATTAAACACAGCCTCTCGTCTCTCGGCTGCATTAAACCCATCAAATTAGCAATAAATTGCATTATAATCTGTTAATAAATATCAAATAAGATTTCGAGTTTACAAGGCCAGCAGCAGCTCTGCTTTGTTATGTCCAGACAATTAATTTGAATTATGCGCCTTGTGTTATTGAAAAACACATTTTTTTTGGGGAGGAAAGACAGACAGACAGCAGTCGGGAAAGTGCCCCTAAAATCACAACAAGAGGGCAGGCAATAAAGTGAGCAACAGTCGACATGACAAGGCGACTGGATAGCCAAAGTTCGTGCCCCCCCCAGAAAGAACGAAGAAGCTGAATATTTAATATATCTAAAAGTACCAGGGGAAAAACCAAACAAAAACAAATATTGCCAGCGACGACGACATCTATTTCGAGCGGGACAGAGCGATGAAAAGCCGAGGGGAAAATCTTATGCTAGAGCGGATACAATTTCGATAACACTCGGAAAATCCAAGGCATACACGTAAAAGGCCCGACACATTTGTGCTCTGGGTAGTGCCGACTATTTCTGAATTCTGAACTGTGAATTCCGAATTCCGAATACCGAGTTCCGAACAGGTGGAGCCGAAATAGTCGAGATTTTCCAGGCTTTTCTCACGCCCGCATAAACAGATGGCGTGTTCGTTTATTTTTACCGCCTCCTTGGCCCGCGGCACATCAACGGACAGTTGCCTTGCTTTTTTATATATTTTTTTGTTTAATTAACAAATACTCTGCGGATTTGAGTAAACCGCCGCAATTGTTGCGATTATGCCCCACCGCCGCCGCCGACTGACTGCCATTTAAGTGAATTAAATTCGCCCAAGGCTCGGTTTTCGACTATTGTCTTCACAAAAATTTAATTAATGCCCCGCAGATGTGCGGCCATTTTTCATGGCAATTAAATTATTGTAATTGCATTCCGTGGGCCCTGTTGAAGTTGGGGGAAGCTGGCTGTACTGTGAAAGAATCGAATTCAATTATGCTATGGTACTCCTGAGAATTCTGCAAAAATCCTTCGGTCTGGCCCCAAAAGTTGAATTGCAGTCCAAACACACAACACGCCTGATTAAATGTTTATCCGGACCCTTGGCCATAAACGGAATGGTTTTGCCAGGGCCTTTTCATGCATTCTCATCAGCCAGTGTCGTTTTTGGCCAAATTGCATATAGGAGATACACTGGGAGAGATAAATAATAACATAAATCAAAGGCTATTAGGTTATTGTGTTTTTAAAAACTATATATCTTGGTTTTTAGATTAATAAAATCTAGGTAAGAGCTGCCTTTAATGAAGCTTTTATAACATATATTTATAAATATTTTCTGGGCTCAGAAATGGTACCAAACCATTGACAGATTATAAAGTATGTTTAAAAAATATTAAAAATTAGAATCATAAAATTCCAGAAATTCCCCTTATTCCATCTCATTTCCAGTGTACCTACAGAACTCGTGTTTGCCGAGCAAAATTAGATTCAAGTGTGCAAACATCCTGGCGAGAAACCACTTTCTGTGTCCCGCCTCGCACTAGGCGCTAAGTTGGTGGGGATTATTTTCCCATAAATCAGCATAAAAACTCCACAAAGGCCAAGGCCTCCGCCCCGAAATGGCCACCAATGGCACAATAGCCCCCAAAAAAGGCGGCCAAAATGGCAACGCATATCCGAGATGAAGTCGACCGAAAATTAGGTCGTTCGGAGGCGGCCAGGATAAGGGATAAGGTCTGAGAGTTACACGCCGCCTGGAGGGGAGAGCAACCACTTGCCGGCATTTGTGCCGCTTCCGCTGCTGCTGGCTTACAGTGAAGCTGGAGCGGAAACGGAAATTGAGTCAAGCATTGTCTGCTTCCCGGACCCAGGCTGGACTGCAATTTCATTTATAAACAAACAGAGCCGCCGAGTCGAATGGAATCGAACAGTAACACTCACAGAGCATTCGTGCCCGGCCAAGAATAGCCACATTATTTATTTAAGCTCAACATTTAATTGGAAAATCATGCCCAATGTCGTCATTTTCTTAACGAAAATAAACACTCGGCTGACATGGCATTGGGACGGCCGGCGGGAATAGTTATTTATAAGTTTCTCATAATTCCTCGAGACGTCTTCCCGCTTCTAGCGACAAAAGCAATTAAATAAATTTTCGCATTTTCACATTGTCGCAAAAAAAAACATGGTATACAAATTTCTGTTGGGGGAAAAAATACTTATTCTTTGATATTTATACATTTTACCTTTTGCCAATATTGTAGTCCTAACAATTCGTCCGGAACAGAAAAGGGAACCACAAAGTGTAAACAGATTTTGGCGTGAGTTTTGGCTAACCTTAGCATTCAATTTGCATTTATTTCTTGGCATACTTGAATTATTTTTATACACTTTTGGCAAGAGGTTGGCTTGGACTTGAAGAGGTGTCCTGTGAATTTAAAAGAGGATATTGTTCTGATTGTCTTTGATACGATTTTTTTGTAACAACTCATTTAATTTTTATTTTAAATCAAGTTTTTTCCTAACTCAAACGAAATTTTCTTCATTTTTAATCACAATTTCTAGTAATTTATTTATATATTATTCTTCTTTATTTCCTTAGCTATTTACAAATTTAAAAAAAGGGTATTTCTAATGCCACCCCTTAGTAAAAAGTTTTATATTTATTCCAAACTTTTGCTTCAGCAATTATTGCGATTCGAAATCTTTTGAACTTTTTTGTTTGTCGGTTGTCAGATGTTTGTTTGGTGTGCTCCTCTCGGATCTGTGTTTGGCTTTCCACCCAATATCATTCACCCCGAACTCTGTCTTTACTCTTTAGCCCAACGAATAAATGATACTGGCGCCGTGGGTGTGGCTTAGCCTCCGCCCAGAGAAAAACCAAAAAAGGTTAATTAGAAATTCAGCAGGACCGCAAGACCAAGATGCCTAGCACTTAACCACAACAAAAAGGTCTCCTTCGCCGGCTGGCCATGGATATTGGCCCTGCCAAGAAGGTGAAAATAATACAATAGAAATTTATATATGTTATTTGCTATAAAAGTGTGCGGCTTAAGCGACTGGGGCAGCAGCAGCCGTTGCTTTTAATCAATAATTCAACTGTGACTGCTTTCCAATTTATGGCCAACTCAGCAGTGGCCAAAAAACCAACTTGTCTGACCCGAAATGAAATCGGCAAATACTGGCCCCGAGTAATAATCGAAGAACTAAACCCGAAATCGCCGGGCCGAATGCGAAAACTTTGTCAATATTTCAGCAACACGCACCACTGACTCTGACCCCGGAGGTCCTGTGAATGGCCCTGTGAATTGGCAGTGCGGCGTGTGGCATGTCCCCTGGCCTAATTGAATTTCCTGGCTAACACTTTAAAGCCGGCTGCTAGGCTACTTAATAGGAGAGCGCGTGTAATGAGGTTTTGGCTCCCCCTTCGCATTTCCCCAACAAAAACTTTCCATTTCGACAAATTGACTGACAGGCGCCGGCGAGGAGGACAGAGAGCAGACTTCAAAGCAGCCCGCTTTCACTAAATCAATTTGCACAAAGTATTCGGCAGCATTAGGCTCAAGCAGTTCGGCCCCCCCGAATTTTGCGAATAAAAAAAAAAGTTTTTGGAACAAAAGTTGTTCTCGACTGACATCCATAACTCGATTTGTAAATGGCAATGTGTGCCACATTAGGGTTCTCTCCTTGGCAAGGACTTGTAGGCTTAAATTTTTAACAGCTATGCTAATTTGATGCCATTATGTGCCTAATAATGGCGTCTGCTCTGGCGAGAAAATATGCAAGGCCTCGAGTGTGGAGGAATTACAACAGGAAGTTGGCAAAAAAAATAACAAAAGACAACCAGAAACATTATTCCAGAATTTGTTGTATGTGAAAATTATGCAGCTGTCAGCATGAGTCTAGGGAAAATAAGAATATAAAGAATTAATAAGTATATACTTTGATTATAAGTTAGAAATTATGTAAATAAATATAATACAAAGAAGGCTATTACAATTTTTGTGAAGGAAGTAATTAACTTAACACATACATCCCACCAAAAGAAGACTTAAACTAATATTTAACCCTTTTAAATCAAAGAACATAAAATATTAAAAAATCAATATATATTTAAATTAATGCTTCCGCTTGTTTTAAATAAAACAAAAACTGATAACCCCTCTTGAAGCAAAAAGTTAACTTGTTATCACCGAGTTTTACCGTAGCTTATTTCCATTTGTTTATGCTGCTCCTAATTTATGCAGGTTAAAAAGTCCCTGCCTTTGCTGCCCCCATTCAATTATTTATTTTTTTAGTCTCATAATAACAATAACAATGATTTAAATTAGCGGACAGTACATGTACAATACAAAAATGTATTTTTTTCGCTTTTAAATATCAATTCACTTCCCAGTGGGTGGGCGGCATTGCATCATCCTCGTCCGGCACGGCGGCTGGGACAAGCCCATAAATAAAATTTCATGTATGAAGAGGGGACGTGGCCTTTAATCGAATTCATAGCGACATGCAAATACAGACAAGAAATTGGTAGAAAAAATTATAGAATTTTCCCAGCAGCGAAACAAAAAATGCTCTTCAATTAAGAGTTCAATTTAAATTAAACTAGCATACCAAGTTTATACAACTTGTAAAAACAAGAATATATAATCTGCTTTAAAGTCACATTTCTGATCCCCTAACCTTTAGACCTCCCATAACTATTTTTTCTTGCCATAAAATAAACTTGCAAATGAATGCAAATCCCTTGACAAAGTTGCTAAGCTCTGCTTTAGCAGAAGAGTAAAGCAAAACTTGAGTAAAACAATTCAGTTTCCTGTATTCAGGATGCGCTTTTGGCGACCGTTGGCAAGAAGCTAAATCGTCCTGACGTCCACAACGACAGGACAAACCAGGAATCTCTGCACCAGCACTGACAACGAACGTGAAGGGCAGATAAATGTTGAGACAACGCCAGAGCGAAATTGAAAAACTTGCAGGCCAAAGCGCAAAGTTTGCCGCGTGCCCCGAGAAGCTGGAAAATCTCTGGCACCCACAAAATTCTAGCAATAGCTGCAGTTGAATTTTCCCAGACAGTCAAGTCGAGTCAAAGGAGCAAAAATCCAATGAGGAGTTGTTGCCACCAGGTGCACGTTTCAAGGATGAGATAGTGAGCGATGCGTGCGTTAAACTTTGTTCGAGTTGACTGGCCAGGGCATCGAATTACTGGTACTTGCTCCAAGTTCCCCGGAAAATCCTCGACAGCAATTAGCGAGGAGGGGTTCTCGAAAGGGATTACCTACCCCGCTCAACTGGAGGGCACTCGATATGGCTATTAGGCCTGACAAGCTGTCATTAGGGCACAAACGTCCGACCCAGAGCCGCCAAATATTTGCCAACATTTTCGAGAAGTAAACAAGAGGGGCATGGCATACGAGGATATGTTAATGAGCCGGGCAAAGGTCGCGGCCAGCCGCGAAATTGCTTTGAAATTAGCGGTATTACACATTAGTAATTCCCTCCAGCAGGGCAAACATTAATTTGCAGACGAGACCCTAACTCGATCTATCCCATTTCAAACATGATGAGTTCCTGGAATTCAAAAAGAGGTATTTACATAATCAAGGGTACTTGGAAAAGCTAGCGATAAAAGGATAATACAGCTGAAAATAGTTGAATATATTTAAAATCATTGAATTTATTTTGAATTTTCGATATAGTACAGAATTTCTTGGAGAACTTAAAACTAAAAGGAAGGTATAGGTTTAAGTGTTAAGTGCTAAAGAATATATTTATTTTTAAAAGATTTAAGACCAACTTTAAATCAATTCCCTTCACCATCACAGCAAAAATTTAATTACCAATACCAAACCATAGCCTGCATCTAAATTAAACACACGATTTAATAACCATCAAGAGCTTAGGGTCCAACTTCCCCCACAGATGAGGAGGATGAGGATGAGGGAAACTGAAAGTTGCCTATGGCCTCCATCGTCTGCCGCAGCTTCTCAAGCCCGCTGCAGTTGGCTTCGTAGGCATCCAGCTGCTGCATCGCGGTGAACCAATGCTGCAGACGTGGAAATCGCGTCAGCGGAAACATGAGATTGACGGTGCTCAATGTGGTCACCAGGGAGAAGTCGGCGAGCGTCAGCTGAAACCGCAGCAACAAAGGTGAAATTCTAAACTTGATTGAGCCATACCTCCTCGTCTTACCTGCTCCCCGGCCATGTAGTTGCTCTTTTCCAGGTAGCCCTCCATGATGCCATATGCCTCGGTCAGCTTGCGTTCATGGTGAGCCACATCCACATGGGCGAATCCCTGGCGAACAATAGCAGACTGTGGAAATTGTTTACAAATTAAATTAAATTCAATTAAAAAGGAAAATGTAAAAAGGGAAAAGCCCACCATAAAATCACTATCGCGACGGAACAGAAAGGAGCACTCGAAGAGCAGGAGGTTCAGGACTTTCATTCGTGGGACATACTCCTTGGGCCACAGACTGCCACCCTCGTCGAACTTTTCCGCCAGGTGGATGAGTATGGCATGGCTATCGGTCAGTACGAGATCATCATGGACCAGAGTAGGAACGCTATGCTGGGGATTTATCTAAAAAAAAAAACTTGAGAAAAATTCAACGAATAAATTACCCTGACTTACCGCCAAGAAGTCTTTCTGGAATTGCTCGCCCTTGAAAAGATCCACAAAACGAAGCTCCACATCGATATCCAGCAGTTTAATTAACATAAGACAGCTGCGAACCGGCGGACTGCGATCGTCATAGTACAAAATCGGCTTGGGTTGAGACATCTCGCACAGATCAGGTAGAAAAACAAAGGAGCGAGCGCAATGAAAGCCGATCAGTGACTAAACGCGACTGCAGGGACTGTCTTGAGACAGCTGTGGGGAGTATACAATGAACATTTTAAATAAAATAATATTCTGACTTAAATATTAGCTTGCATACATTATTTTTAAAGTAAAAACATACTTTATATTCCTATAACTAAGAACTTTATTCATGCTTTTAATTCAAATCTAACGATTATTTGTTCATCGACTCTGTAACCCTGAAGCAGTGTTGGATAGCGCAATAATCGACCTTTTAGTGTGCCCAGCTAAAAGCTTCCGCGAAATGTTTCAGTGAAAGAGCCAGATTTGCATCTGGCAACACTAAACTAAAAAAACAGAAGAACATTTAATAATATTAATATTTCCTGTTTTATAACTGAAAACCCCTCTGTTTTGTGGCCTCACCTGCATAACCATGTTCCTGTCGCGCCACCTGAGATTGCTGCCGCGGGCGAGCATTGCACGTAGCCTGGGTTCCAGCGGAGCACATTACACAACCGCCGCCAGCAGCAATGCGGCGCCGGCGGAGGAGGATTCCCCGTTTGAGATTCCCAATAGGATCGAGCGCACGCCCACGGACATACTGCAGGCCCTGGCCGGTACCGTGGGCAGGGACCACACGGCGCCGCACTACAAGTTCCATGACGACCCGTTCCTGATACCCATGTCCAATGCGGCGAAGCGCACGTATGCCATGTCCAAGGAGTCCGGTCGCAAGGCGGCCAAGTGGATCAAGGAGGAGCACCGCGAACTCTTTTTGGTGAGTAAATAAGGGAAATAGAACCATAAACTGAATTAGAATCTCTTTTCAGCATCAAGAGGCACAGCCGGCAGTGGAGAAGTTCGCCCCCAGCATGGTCTACACCGAGAATTCCGAGGTGGACGAGAGCTCTCTCCAGCAGCTCATCGCCCAGAGTGAGGTCAAGGATGCCGTGCTGGTGTACAACCTCCTGGAGCAAAAGGGAAGTCCCATCAGCGCGGATCTAAAGCAGAGCCTTCTGGAGCTGGTGTGCTTCCACAACAACCAGGAGCCGCTGCCGGAGGAGTACATCGAGGAGCGTTGGTTCATCCAGAACAATAGGAGACGTGACCGGCACGGCAAGACCTGGAAGGATGGGGACCTGGCCGAAAAGCTTTATGCCGAAATCGAGCCCAAGACCCCGCAGGCCTACGCCTCGCTTATTCGCGGCATGGCCAAGTATCTGCAGTGTGAGCGTGCTTATGCATTGCTCCAGGAGGCGGGTGAAAAGCAAATCCAGCTGGACACAAACACCTTCAATTCCATCATTGAAATCGTGAGCTACCTGAAGGACACGGCGGAGCAGCGTTGGCAACTCTGCACGGAGCTGCTGCAGGAAATGTCACAGCAGAAGCTGAGACCCAATCTGGGCACCCTGAACGCCGTGCTGCAGTGCATCAGCACCTTTGGCAACTTTAAGCTGGCCCGCAGCTCCGCCTTGCAGGTGCTGCCGGAGTTCAAGCAGCTGGGCGTGAATCCCAGCCTGGGCACCTACTACTACCTGCTGATCATCTTCTGCCGGGAAAGGGGTCCCGTCTCCCACGTCATTGTGGACATTCTAAACGACATTGCCGGCAAAGAGTTCCAGATTGAGCACCCCAAGGACACGTACTTCTTTGCCACCGCCATGGATGTGTGCCGCAATCATTTGAACGACAAGTCGCTGGCCAAGAAGGTGGACGAGCTGCTGCACACCGGCAAGAACTACGACCTGGTCGGTGACTCCTTCAAGGAGTCGGTCTACTACCGCAACTACCTGGCGCTGCTTTGCCAGACTGAATCGATCGAGGACTTTATGCTCACCTACGACCTGCTGGTGCCCAACATCTACATACCCGAGCCCGGCATCATGGAGGAGATCCTGCGTGCCATCGAGATCAACAACGCCGTCGAGCACGTGCCTCGCATCTGGTCGGACATGGTGGTGTTTGACCACACACACCGCGAGAGCCTCCTGCTGTCCGTCCTCCGCATCATGGTGGACAACAAGCCGAATGCCGAGTTACCCGCCCAGCAGCAGCTGCCGGAACAGTGCGCCAAGGTGGCTCTGGACATGTACGAACGAGTGGAGGAGGCGATGAAGAGGCTCCGCAAGGTCTCCTTCACCGGCCAAATGCTGGGAAACATCCTTACGCTGCTCGTTCGTGGTGGTAACTTCGAGAAGGCCAGCGAGGTGTTTGCCCACATCGACAAGAACCAGCACAGGATACCCGGCACCCCTGCCGAAAGTGCGCTCCACGAGTATGTGGAGGCTAGCGTGCAGGAGAAGTCACCCAGCCAGGCGCTGGCCGCTTTGCAATATGCCGTGGAGAACAACATGGAATCCAGTGCCTTGGCCAAGCTCATCCATGAGGGATTCACGCTGAACGAAACGCATTTGGCCAAGCTGAAAACGTTGGTGGGCGAAAGTTTTCTCGATAAGTAGGAGAGTCTTGTTTTACTAGAGTATGTTTTGTAAACACGAAAATTGTTAAATAAACTATAAAAATTAGAGGTTTTTTCAATTTTGATATAGCCCCATGTCTCCTTAATAGCATAAGTGAAACAAAAACATGCAAAATTGAATTAATTTTTAAAAAATGTAATAAGTTACCCGTTAATAAAATAACAAAAATTCGAAAATTTTGACTATTTTGTTATTTAAAATTTATTTACGGTATGTTTAGGTTGCTTTAGTGTGCCCAGATACCGCGAAAACGCCAGAATTGAACGGAAATGGACACACTGGCTCGAAATTAGAGCTGGTCAAAAAAATGATTTCTTCAGCTATCGATTTCTCGATGTTTTTTTGGACAAAACATCGATAGTGCTTGAAATGCTGAAAATAATTGCGAATTCACGTGCAGTCGGTCGCTTGTCCGGGTTAATTCCAACGTCAGCAGCGCTTAGCCAGAGATATATACAAATCGACCGGAAGCGAACGAAAGCCAACATGTCCCAGTACGAGACCGTGGAGAAGGGCGCCCGCAACTCGCCGAGTTACAGCCTGTATTTCAGTGAGTAAGCCATAAATTTGGCCCCTATGTGACCCGGCATAACCTGCTGGCGTCACCAAGCCCCAATTAAGTGAAGGGGGCAATTGCATCCAACGGATTACCTTACTGAGTTTAATCGTGGCCAGAGCAATTATGCAACAAGTCAAACCGGACTCTGATTACTCAACGCCGCGCCGTCGTCGTCGTCGTCGCATTATCAGCGCTATCAGCGGTTTGTCTTTGCATCGGAACTGGCGGAAATACCACGACCTTGGGACTTCTTTGGCCAGTGGTCCGTGGTCTTATCTGCGCTATAATATAGCCTCCATATCGTTGGTATCGAGATTGGGGTAATCAGGTTCGGCACGCAAGTAATTAGACCCGGCCGGCCGGCCGCTGACCTTTGTCTAGACAACTAAGAAAGACCCTTTACAATCGCATCAATCAAATCGCGTGCCCCGCAGCGCTAATATTTGCAATAATTTCTGGCCTTTTCCGCAGAAAATAAGTGCGGCAATGTCATCTCGCCGATGCACGACATTCCACTGTACGCCAATGAGGAGAAGACCGTCTACAACATGGTGGTGGAGGTGCCACGTTGGACCAACGCCAAAATGGAGGTTAGTTTCTGTTTGCGCTATGTCCAGTTTCTGGTTATTAATCCGCCGATTGCATGTCCATCTAATCCATAGATCAGTCTGAAGACCCCGCTGAACCCCATCAAGCAGGACATTAAGAAGGGCAAGCTGCGTTACGTGGCCAATTGCTTCCCCCACAAGGGCTACATCTGGAATTATGGCGCCCTGCCTCAGACCTGGGAGAATCCCGACCACATTGAACCCTCCACGGGCTGCAAGGGCGACAACGATCCCATCGATGTGATCGAGATCGGTTACCGTGTGGCCAAGCGCGGCGATGTGCTGCAGGTCAAGGTGCTGGGCACCATTGCGTTGATCGACGAGGGCGAGACCGACTGGAAGATCATTGCCATCGATGTGAAGGACCCGCTGGCGTCAAAGGTTAATGATATTTCCGATGTGGATCAGTACTTCCCGGGCTTGCTGCGTGCCACCGTCGAGTGGTTCAAGGTGGGCTTTAAATCTTTATGATTTTTTGTGGTTTACTAACTTCTGTTTCTAAACAGATCTACAAGATTCCCGATGGCAAGCCAGAGAATCAATTTGCCTTCAATGGCGATGCCAAGAATGCGGACTTTGCCACCACCATCATTGCTGAGACCCACAAGTTCTGGCAGAACTTGGTTCACCAGAGCGGCACTTCCAGCACAATCTCTACGTGGGTTTTGTCAATTATTTAATAACTCCTTGAAAACTTGGTAATATTGATTGATTTGCAGTACCAACATCACCAACCGGAACTCGGAGCATGTTATCCCCAAGGAGGAGGCTGAGAAGCTCCTGGCCGATGCCCCCGAGGGCGGTCAGGTGGAGGAGGTGCTAGACACAGGTAAGGTTTACTATGTTAAATCGCGCTTATAGCTGCCTCGCCTCAACCCAAGCTTAGCCCAGCCAAGTGCAAACAAATTGGTTACACAAACCCAACCTGCATGCTTACTAATAACTACTATAGTGCGTCCAGTTTCCAACCAAAAATTAGATTATCCCACGCTGTAAATACTGCAAAATACTCCCCCGTTTATGTAATTGGCCTAATTGTTACGTTAAATGTGCTGGTGAAATAAACTTAAACCTAAATCCATGTCCCTTTCTCTCTCTCGCTATTGCAGCCGACACTTGGCATTTCATTCACCTCAAGTAGGGTGATGCCGCTCCGTGATGAGTCCGCTGCAAGGTCATCGGTATATATATATCGTAGTGTTATCGAATTGGAGATTTTAATGCACTTGTGAATCATTGATATTGGAATTGAATAAAGCCCTGCACTTAAACGCAATTAAATCCGCTGGCGACTCCTCTTTGAAATATACAATCTTTATTTATATTTTACGACTAGATCCAAACAAGTTTAAATTAATTAATAGTTATGTAATTGTAGGGCATATGCAAATAGTACATATATATATTTGTAGAATCGAATCGAATTATGCCGTGTAAGGATGTGTGGTATATGGTCGCCTTTCGGTTCTATGTGGGGGGGTCGGTGTGTGGAACGTAAAATTTACTGCCGTAACAAGTTAACTTAGGCTTACGAAATAAAAGAAATGTACAAAATAGTTAGACGTTATAAATATGTGTATGTATAGAAATCTTTAAAAGAAGACAAAAATAATTTATTTACATCAGACATTTTGATTCTTGTTCGTTCGTTCGTTTCTTATTTGTTTGCTTTGCTTTGCATCCCTTCTCCCTTGCTTTGTTCTCTCGCTAAGAACTCTAGAAAATGAGCATAATTCTCGTCGTTACTAAAAACTAAAAGCTCCACGAGACTGTTATAACGGATCATCGATGTGCATGCCGGAGATTAGAGATAATAATAAATGAACAAAAACGAATTTTCTTCACTTTCCAATATCGGTGCGGATAAGTAACGTGTAATAGTTTTCATTATCTTTTTTCTTTTGTTATTATTATTATTTTTTTTTTAACATTTTTGATCTGCTTTCTCTTTTGTAGCTTAGTCGCTAGTTACTTTTCTTTTAAGTGGGGTACACATTCCTCGGGGGTCGTTCGTTTCCTGGTTGCCATTGTTTCGTGCCGTGTTCTGCCACAGTTATCAGTAATACAATACATAGTGTACTTTTTAGTTTAGTATATAGTTAATAGAATTAAGTAGCTGCTCGTGCCAGTGACGGTGCCAGTGTGCCTGTGCCCAGATAGTTGGCAAGTTACTTGCGGCCCAGGGTATCGCGCCATTCGTTGTACTTGTCCATCTCCTCGTGCAGCTGCAGAGCCTCAATGCAGGCGTTGAAGAAGGGCGATCCGAAGCATTCTTGCCTGTTTTTAAGTAAATAAGGATAATGGATGAGTATAAAATATTGCAGACGACTTTTTATCAAGTGTGCTCAAAAAGGTGGAGCCAAAAAGTCAAAATAGCTTGATTATGGTGAGGCTGGAAAATGCAAAAATTGCTCTCAGCGACGGTATTGAACTTAAAATATTTAATAAAATTAAAAACAGTGAAAAAATTATTTAACAACCTTAAGAAATACTTAAAAACAATTGGTATTTCATCAAGTTTGGTTTAAAAACGTTTGTGTCAAAAGTTGATGTAGGAAAATCGGGATTATCGATGTAATCACTGATTCATCTTAAAATCAAAAGTTAATTATTGCATTTTTAATGCAATAAATTTTTTAAATACATTTTTTAAAGGATTTTAAAGTCAAAAAATATATACAAAAAGTTTCAAAAGTAGTGGCAGTGCCTTACAAAAATGTATTGCATACTGTTAGGCGCCAAAAAAATATTTTCGAAATCTATTTCGATTTCGAGGACTTAAATCCTACTTTAAAGTCAAAAATCAAATATTAAATTAAAAAAATAATATAAAATAAAAACGTACCAAAACAAAAACGGTAAGCCGGCGTTTTTAAATGTGCGCCAGAATCGCGCGCATAATCGCCTTCTCTTTCACAGGCTGTATAGCGATCTCCTTCACTGGCGGCTGTGGACTGTATCTGCAAACTCTTTCTGGGGCATCTCTGGGCACTTCTGGGCCTCTCCGCGTCGCGCATTCGCATTCTAATTCTCATTTATCACAATTTTGATGCTCTCAAATAGCCAGCGAATGATTATCCTTTATTATTTTACATTTGGGCTTATAGTGCGGTGTTTTTTTGCTACATTTTTAATGTAATCAAACGTTGTCGCGTGTTTTTACCGAGGGTTTTTGTTTGTGTCTTGCACAAATTGCGTTCTTGCGTTATTTAGACTAAACATTTAGTATGTGTGTGTGTCGTAGTATGCGGATAATTGTTAGGTATAGATATATAGATATATATTTCCTCTCATTTTTGCCAACAAATTTACGCTAATTAGGGGTTTAATCTTTACAAAATAGCACGAAATTGTAACTGTAATACATTTGCAAAATACTTTCGGTCTCGTGTGTGTGTGCGTGTGGGTGTAGCTGTGTGTAATGTGTGTGTGTAGTATGGATTAGGTTTTCCTTTTTGCCTTTTTGTGGTTTTGCCCTTGCAGGAAAATCGTGTAAAATGTAAACGTTAAATGCTGATTTTACAATAGTATACAAAAATAAAAATAATCATTTAACATTATATAGATTAAAAACAGTGGATTTCGTTTTGTTTATTTTATATACATAACGCATAACGCAATAATAATAAAACAAGCTAAGAATACTTATAAATAAATACTTCGGCTTCCTATTTACGTCGGCGGCGGCGGAGTGGCGAAAGGGATCGGATCTCTTTATCCTATATGATCCGATTCGCTATCTCTCCCAACGCCCTCTTCTTCCCTACGATTATGTTACTTACAACAAACGCATAACGTTCTCAATAAATTAATAAAAATAATTCGTTTTTAAAAAAACACATATATAGTAAAAACTGTAAAGCATACAGTAATAAATAAGTACGAATTAAATTTGGGCGTTTTAATATTTTAGATTTCTTTGTTCTGGCTCTGCATTTGTGGTTGTAGTTGCAGCGAATTTCAACTGTTGTTGTGTTTGGATAGTGTGTGTGTTCTTGTTGTGTATGTGGTGTGTGTGTGTTTGGATGGGTTTTTTGAAGGGGGATAGGGTAGGGAAAATCGGGGACTTAAAGTTATGTCTGCGGCGCCATGTTGAAGGATATGGGCGAGCCGTTAACGACTCTCAGAAAGTGCTGTAAGTTCGATATTTCCTCTTCGGGTATTAACAGCACTTTCAGGCATTCGCCGAACCATTTTGAATCAAAGCAGTCTTTCCTAAAATTAAGAAACGAAAATCATAATGAAACACAACAACAAATAAAGGTAACACAAGCTTAATCAAATCAAATTCGAGAAATTATATATAGCAAAGCGGAAACGGAAATGGAAATAGAAATGAAAGCGGAAACGGAAAACGAAAGAAGACGAAAGGTAAGTTGTTTTAGTGGTATTTGGGCTTGTGGAACGGATAGGGTGATCCATTGATCACTTTCAGATAATGCTGCAGCTGCGATATCTCTTCATCGTCGATCAGCAGCACCTTCAGGCAGTTCCCGAAGGTTTCGTGGACGAAACAATTGGCCCTGCATCGAATAGACAATAGAAAGACAGATGTAGAAGGCCGCACAGAGAAGAAATAGTACCACAAATTGCCAGATATTTGTGGTGATTTTCGGAATATTTTAATGATATTTCAAAAATTTTAAGATATAAAAATGTTTAAAAATTCATTTTACTTTGAAAAATCATCAACATTTTTCATAATTTTAAAAATCTAATACAAATTTATATTTTGGCAAAGATCTTTCGGATTCATAAGACACTCTTTCATAATTAAATTTTAGATCAAAGAAGGACATAAAAAGATAAACCTAAAAAGTGGCAAATTGGCAACCCAGGGCCTCTGCTATTTTCTCTGTGCGAGAAAGTCAAGGAGAAAGTGGCTAGAGACCATAAAGTTTAGAAATAAATCGAGGTCCCGCGATCATTTCCCGAGACAACCCCCCCAGGGTTTTGTGTCAGGGTCGGAGCAAAGCACCAAAGATCCCATTTGGAATGCGACCTTGCCTTGGACCACCCCCCTCTGTAAGGGAATCTCTGCTTCAGGGTTGCGTTAGTTATATGGATATCCAATATAGTACTATATCCGAGGCATTGGAAACTTACTTGCATAATCGGTGTATACTCGTCTCGCGGAACAACTGATAGCAATCCTCGCAGATGCGGTCCAGTCGGAAGAACATGGTCTTGTTGAAGATGCCCTTGCACTCCAGATCGAAGAAATTGCTGCGCTTCGACAGATTGTGGTTGTGTGGCAAGGCGGTGAAGATTGGTATCAAGACGAGAAACAGCACCACCGAGATCTTTATGTTGCGGGAACACATCTGCGGGAGAAACAGAAAACCACAAGAGTGAGTGAGAACCGGAAATGCTTTAAAAATAGCCTCCCTATTTATAGCGAAACCATCAATTAACCGGCACTGCCTCCCTCTCCCTCTCTCTCCCGATCTGGCCATCTGCCGGGGCGGTTTAAGCCTCGGTACCCGGTAACTGGGTAAGCAGATATGGGCCAAGCTAAGCCTTGGCCAAAAGCCGCCAAAGGACAGGGGCAAGGGCAGAGCCCAGACCCATAACCAGACCCAGGTAATCAAGCTGCCGGCTGAATGCGGCTCCTATAAATAGACTCTGTCTGACAGGCGGCTAAAAATAAGGCCCCCATCCTTCGCCGCCGTCTGCCCGAAAGGTGCAATTGCAATTGCAGACGCGATCTTATCGCAGGAAAGCTCTATAAATAGGCCCGGCGGCGATTTCAATGTTCATGGCATTATTTTTGCCATCTGTCGGCGGACTTAATTTATGATGTAAGTTCGCCGCTACGACGGCTCAAAGGAGAGCCAATTTACGGGCGGACAGGCCCCCAAAAAAATATATATAAATATATATAGTTATAGTATAGTGTGGCGCGTATTTGTTTACTTTGCATATTTTATTGCTAGTGCTCGCGGTTCGGCTTCAATTACAGCGCTGCTACTGACACATTTGCGTTTGTGTACATCGTGTGGCATTCCAAACTATTGAATAATTTGATTAAAACTGCAAATTTTTCCATTGCGCATTGTGCCAATTGTTTGTTTGCACATGACATGTGTGAAATTTTTGCGCCATTCGAAAAAAAAGGCTGAACTAAAGTGAAGTGAACTGAAATTGCTGAATGAAATCCAAAGCAGACAGAACGACGTCGGCTATTTCGAGAGATAAAATATTCACAGGCAGCAGCAGCGTGGAGGGTAAAAACATGAAAGCGAATTTGTAAGGCATTTTGGCGCTCTTGGCGCTGATGATTTAAACACATTTTATGTTATTGTCTTAACGCGGCTGTCGAATCTGACGATCTGTGCGTCCTAAGATCTTTAGGCAAATTGATTTTTTATTGCCTTGTTGATGTCTTCAATTAAGTTGAGCACATTTTTAGCTCAGCTCGCCTCGCCTTGATTTATGGCCGCTGATGGGTGGGGGGGAATGGTGGGTATGGAAATCGTATTGAAATCGGAATCGGAATGGGAATGCGAATGGGGCATTGGGGAATGCGAATTCTTAGAAAGTTCATCAGTCGCTCGCCAATGGCCTAGCCCGAATATAAGCATGTTTATACGCCCCGTGAAGCCTTATATTGAGTTTTGCTCTTGACAAGGCTACAAATGGCTATTTCCGCCCCTAAAAGTATGCTTATATATGGCTGTTTGTTTTATTTAAATTTAATTTAATGCCTTAAACCGAATTTGCGTTTCTCGGAAATTGCAATAAAAGTAGAGAAAGTTTTTGATGGAATTTTTCAAGTGAGTCAGCTTAGTCATTTAATTTTATTTGCTAAAGTATTTAACTGATTTTAATTGTATTTATATTTTTTTAAATATTTAATTTAGCACCTTAAAACCCCCAAATGATTAAAACCCACTTGTCATTTAATTCCCACATTACCTACTAGCCATTGAATAATGTTTTCTTTTTACGCAAATCGAATAATTACTATTGGCAGCTGTATATTTTCCCACACGTGTGTAGGCGAAAAAAAAGTGCAAGTTGCGGCCAAGTGGGGAACCCAAGACCCGATAATAAGTATATCCAGCATATAGTGAGCGCTCGTTTCGTCAGAGATCTCCCAGTGCACTATGGGGTTTTTGACCACTTTATGTGGCATTTAGTCATTTTTTAAAAGTTCTTAAATTAAAAAAAAAATAGTGGGATTGTATTAACAAAACATCGAACTGTTATGCCTCATACTCAAAATGTTAATACTTAACAGCATATGTTAGCAACAGAGCTGTAAAGTCAGCTGTTGCATCCGAAAGCGCGTCTGCTAAGTTTGTAATTTTTACGAAGTGATCTTTGAAATTAAACTATTCGTGTAAGACACAATTTGCAAAGGAAAAAACTAATGGACACTGATTTCACAGGTTTTAACTACATGTTAAAGGTATTAATTGTTTAAATTGTGCGTGTTTATACTGACATTTTGTCATTTTATAAATGCACCTTAAGCTGAATTTTGAGAAACAAATTTAAACTTTGGGAAGAGTTTTGAAATAGAAGTTCGCATTAGTTTTCAATGCGTCCAAGTGTATGTTGTAGCGTTGTCAATTCTGAGTAAAAAGCAGTTAGTCTTATCGTGCACTTTTCCGCACTTTTGTTGCAATTTGAATTTTTCTCAGATAACCTCACTGTTTTCAGAGCCAATTTGGTAGCTGTTTGTATGGAAAAACACTGATTTCCGGTATTATGGTTATTTTGGTTCCTAGGGAAAGCGTTGTCCGATTTTGTTCAAAATTGCTATATCGTGTTAAAATAGCAACAAATATAAGCTCCTTAAATTTCATAAATTTATCTTTACTTTTACCCGATCGTTCCTATGGGAGCTATAGGATATAGATTCCTGATCCAAACGATTTTCATACTATATGTGCCTAGGGACAAATAATGATGATTGGTAAAGTTTCATGTCGATATCTTCAAAACTGATCGAGTTATTAATTAATGCCACAAAAACTGGTCAAAAACCCCATAGTGCAGTGCAAAGTGCAACAGCTGGGGCCTGGTCTGGGCCGGAGGAGGGTGGTGGTGGTGCTGCCTCGCATTTCCCCGATGGCGTATCAACTGATGCGATTTCGAATTCGATTTCGGCTTTAGCCGCAGCATCGAGTGATAATTGGCTTCGGGTTGCACGATTTATGGCATCATCGCCACTGCAGGCGGCTATTTTTAACGCTCTTTTAGCCGGCCGCATGAATGCTATAATTGATATGCGAAACGCGTCAGAGATAATGTAACAACGTGGAGGAAGGGCAAGACCCCAGACTCCACACTTTAAGGGGGGGAAAGCCCTCCTCCAGGGCAAAGGGAAAGTTGAAGGCGAAGAGCTGCAGCTGAAGCTGAAGCTGAATGAGTGAATGAGCCAAAACGATCCAATGGCGTCATCGCTGACCACAGATACCACACACGCATAAAGGAGACAATGAACGCCGAGACGTACTTAATCGATCTTCGATCTTCCTTCATATTTTCAGCTTCATATAGCAGGCATATAGTAGGATCTTCGATCATCATTATCGCTGCGACATGCTTGGGCAATTTGTTTGCATTTCGCCATTGATTAGCTGCCAATTGATTTTATTTGTCGGCCGGCGCTTTGTATCAATTCAAGTCGCGAGCGTGTCGCACATACAAGTCATCCCATTATTCGAATTCCAGGCGGTGTGCCAGTCTGTGTCTGTTATGCTATAGCCGGACCATATATGTATATACACTCGTATCACTGAATCATTGGAGCGAGTCGCACGCACGCCTCTCAATTGCCGTCACTTCACATCACGGCACATCCCAATCCCAACCCATTCCATCCCATCCCAACCCGCGATTGCCGTCTGATTGTACACTATTCAACTTTGATTTGATTGCTGTTTTGACGATGATTTTATTTTCGCTGCTGCGGCTGCTGCCAGGCGACATTGAATGAAGTCATGAGCCAAAAATAATTGTGGCAATTATGACATAAAAACGGATTGTGAATTCTTTTTTGCGCAATAGTTTATAATTATAATACCGTGTGAAAAATAAATGGACGAGGTATGATCAGTTGTGGTGGAGTGAAGAGAAAAGGTATACAAATCGATGGTTTGGAATTTGATTATAATAAATATATTTATAGTACTGTTTTAAGCATTATTTTTTCCATCTAAAATGTCTATTAATTTGTTCAATCTTTAAAATAAACTTAATTTTGTAAGGCTAAAGGGTACATTTGTCCCATTCCTTTTTATATTATTTTCTAAACTAATCATAATATTTAAAAATAAAGTAAAATACCTCTTAAAAACGTCGTCCCCCTTATCCTAATTACTTTATTCAACTCTGAACATAATAATATACATTTTCGCAGAACTCAAAGTCGGGTTTTTTTGCATTTACCCCTTTTTTTTTTAGAGAGAAACGCCCACCAGCAACTGTCACGAAATGCTCTATTTATAGAACAGCTGGTTCAAGTCCAGCGACTCCTTATCTTTTCCCCTTAAATCCGCCTCGGTATGTGGGAAATGTTATCGTGAGATAATTGTATATCACTGGGAACTGGGGAAGTGGACTATGTGGCTTAAACGGCTATAGCGACACTGAAATGCCTGCCAAACTGTGGCCAAACAGACGCGTGCATTCTGTGTGCCTGATATACCTGATTGCGATCACATATATGTATGTACGTACGTATGTGAATACCCATACTACTCCTATGTGTCTTAACGCTTGGCTACGCAAGCATGGCAAGCCGAAAGCCAAAACATAAGACCCCACAGCCGCCCCCTTTGGCTGTGTTTTATTTTTTTACAGCGCAACTAAAAAGTGCTTAGACACGCAAAAACAACACCGAAAAGCGTATATAAACATTGGCTATGGCGAGACTGCTTGGTACCAACTAAAAACTAAACTGGCACAGCAGCAGCAGCAGCAGCAACACTCGGCCGATGTTGCCGATCCTACACTGGCGATGTTGCTGCAATGCCGCGTTGCTGTGTTGCTGGCAAGGCGCGCCTGCGTGGAGCACTAAACGCTCTGCTGTTAATTTGATGGACATGCAGGAGTCGCGAGCTCTTGAAAGCAATTTGCATGATATGTGTATTCAATTAATATTCATTTATTCATGAAATCTCTGGGCTATGCAAAACAGGAAAGGCCGTCGAGAGAAAAACAATATCTTAGCTGGCTCGCCGGCCGAAGCCAGTGTGCACTGGAGAAAACTGTCTTAACACAAATCACCATCTCTAAGGAAACCTCAATTCACACATTTTGCTCCATCATCCAAATAAATATACGTATTCCCCTGCATCACATGAGGCAC